AAAAAAAAAAAAAAAAAAAATCCCCTTCCCACCGGTAAGGGGAGGATGAGGGCCCAGAAGAACTCGGCTGGTGAGACAAACCCGCCAAGAAACAGGGATTCTGGCCGGCGGCCAGAGGGGAAGTAAGAGGTACCAAGCTGTAGGTCTGTAAAGCCCCTGCTCAGCTTTGTTCCTGTTCGTCCTCCTGTGGCTGTGGCTTCGCGTCTTTCATCTCCAGCGCGTCCATGATCTCCTCCCAATGCGCGACTTTCACTTTCTCTTCCCAGGTCGAAATGGCCTTATCCCCGAGCCCCCGCAGTCGCTCCTCCGGTTTCAATTCCTGAGAGGTACCATCTAAACCGGCGAATACGGTCTGCACATCCAATTCCCGGATGGCGGCCTGGTAGAGCTTGAGGACCTTCTCCCTCTTCTCCAGTCTGCTTTTCACCGCCTCCTCGCTCTCCGTTGAGGATGATGACGCGCCGCCGCGCACAGCACCAGGCTTCTTGATCACCGCCGACGAGGCACGACTCTCGTACCCCCGGATCACGCCCTCGAGAATGCCGAGGATCGTCCCCGCTCTCATGCCCAGTTGGGCGCCCACGGGAAAGCCCGCGTCGAAGCCGGATTGCACGTGTTCAGTTTTCGAGGCGGAGACGCCGTCGCGATAGCCGGCTGTTACGTGTTGGCGGCGGAGGGAGGGCAGTTCGGAGGGTTCGGATTGCGCTGTGGTGGCGATTGTGTGGGTTGGTGTGTCGTCGTGGGGTGGGGAGGAGCCGAAGATGTCGTCGAGGCTGTTGTTGTTGCTGGGGGAGGTCATTGTTGTGGTTTGTGGTCTTTGTAAAGTCGTAGGTTTCTAGAGGGATATATTATGGTGTATTGACCGTAGAGATTGTGGTAATGGGTGTATGTTATGATGTTGTAGAGAGGTGTATCGCAAGAAAAATTGGAGAAGCAAACCTGTCGTTAGTAATTCAGTGGAGGGGCAGCCTTATCTTATCGCAGGGTTTAGATCAGATCTCTATACAATTTATTTCAAGCATCACACCACTGCCATACTACTTACTCTACCTAGTGATATTTTAAGATAGCTACCGTAATTCCAATCAGTGAACAAACCGAAAATCTAACCTCTTCACCCCCTCATCCGTCGTGGTAAGTAAATAATCACTCTTCTCCTCCTCCGACATGGACTGCCACTTCCTCTCCCTGGTTCGGTTCCTCCAAACGTAGTACGCCTTAACCGCATAGAACAGAACAACGTTAAACGAGCAAATCGCCAGTAGGATCTTATTCCCCCTGCGATACAGCGGACTATCATCTTCCCGAAAGATGTTACTCCCGATGATATTCCCGCCCTGCACGCACATATTGTACAGCGCGGCGCCGACGGCGCGCGTGCGCACGGTATTGCTGATGCGGGCGTTCCAGCCGACGAGGATCGCGTGGCAGTATGGGTAGCTGAGGAGGACAGTGCTGATGGCGTAGCGGATCCAGGTGCTGGTTGATTCGGGGAGGGCGACCAGGGCGATCAGGCAGGGGAGGATCCAGATGTTGGAGGTGGAGGCGACGATGGCGCGCTCGTTGAGCTTGTCTGAGATGTGGGTGATGATGAGGAGGTTGACAGCGAACATGAATTGCGAAGGGATGGCGAGGAGGTTGGCCTGGAAGGTGGAAAAGCCTAGTCGCCGGAGGATGTAGGAGAGATAGTTTGCGTGAGGTTGCGGTGGGATATAGATGAGGAGGCCCAGCAGGTAGAGGGGCCAGAGGTCAAAGTCTTTCAGGCACTTGATGAGTGCGATTGGGCCAACTGCTTGTCTGTTTTGGTGGAGTGAGTTAGATATGGGTGGTTGTTCAATGGAGCTTTGGAGACGGACCTGTTATTCATGTCGCCTTTGGACGGGTCGTCGCGCAGAAGTCGGTTCACGAGGATGAGTTCCTCGCGCTCGTTGAACCAGCCGTCTTTGCCTCGGAACCAGCTTTGTGTTTGGCAGGGGCCTGGAGGCATAAGGCCCCAGGATAGGATTCCGATGGTAGCAGTGACTAGTCCTTCGAGGAGGAACCTGCGCGGGTGTTAGTCCAGATACAACGAAGTGGAGAGGTGTACTTACAGCCATTGCCATCCACTCCATCCTCGAAGTCCACGCATCTGCAAGATGCCAGCGGCAAGGAGGGATCCAACGATATTGCAAGTACTGGCCGGGTTAGCATGGTTGTGTTCAGTTCTTGGAGCTGTGGCTTACCTGAGCGCCGTCCAAAACCAGCTGAGACGAATGGGTAGTTCTCGTCCTTTCTGTTCCGTGTTAATATTACCTTAACACTGCGGCAAGCTAGGTACTTACATAGAAGTAAGATAGCCATAGTACTATGTCACTATAGAAAACGTTAGATAGATACTCTGCAAACCCCACTCATAGACCTACGGTATAAAACCACCCATCAGAAGTCCAAGAAGGGCTCGACAGGCAAAGAAGCCGGCTCTGCTTGAAAGGGCAGCCTGTGCAGCACTGATGGTCGACCAGCACACAATAATGAAGGGTATCCATCTATCTGGCCCAACCTTCTTACTGATCAGACCGCTTGGAAGCTCTGCTGCGAGGAAGGATACCAGAAAGATCTACCATTGTCAGCGACTATCGGCAACCCTTGGTGAGAGGTAAGCGTACAGTTTGTCCATAGTTGAAATCATTTGTGTTCATGCCTAGTTCAGGGAGCTAGTATTGGTTAGCTAGCAGACTACCAAGCTTGAAGCACTTTCACTCACCATGTCATCTGTGATTGCCCTGTTGATATTTCTCCGGTTTAGATCCAGTGAGCAGAACATTAGCCACGCCCAGAACATAATCCGCAGATCCACCTATATAATATTAACCAATGTACAACCAGACAGAAACACCAACAAGAGAACAGGGTGAGGTGTGCAAACCTTTCGGATCAATTTTTTCTCCTCCTCAGGAGTCCAGGTGAAGGAAGGATCAAAGCGATGACGACCCTCATATTGGGCTTTCTCATACACATTGGCCCAATATTCAGCAGCGTCTGAATCATCAAAAATATGGTTCCGAGTTCCTTGAAACCCGTCCGAACTCTTAGTTTCAGACTCGTGACTGAAGAAGCCCTTCCCCATTGTATTAACCAACAGCGAAAACGATGGCGGATTGATTATTCGTCTAATACACCAACCCAGATATTCTGGTGAAAGCTTCAGTATCTTCGAGTATGGTCATTCTGTTCATGAGTGTCAGGTTCTCATTTATAGGTTCACGATAAGGGCTCCGAGATACATCCCGCACATGATTGCAACAATAGGCCAAGGATTGTATCATACGGCCAAGCGGCATTAGCCATTGGCCAAGACAACATGATAGCCTTTACTTGCACCACTCTGCAGAGGCTAGACACACATCTTCAGGGTGTTATCTCGCATATGCGTATTGGAAATCAAGGCCAAGTATATCGACCTATTGTGGGCATGGTTCCAGTCAATCAACGTTCAAGCCGATCAACACAAAGTTCACGAACATCGCTAAACCCCTCATCAGTATACATCAGGACAAATCTCAATGCAATAGCCGAGCTGGGGAAAGAGTTTGATTAATATTTCCAGGCGTGACTGTCGTGTGTCTTGCCTAGTTTATACTAGTGATCGTTCGGCTCGTGGGATGCGCACCGTATGGTGGTGAGAAATTTCCGTGGGCCAGATTCAAGAGTACTGGTTGTGGCTTTCTCACGTTATAACCCGCAGAGGCTTTTGACACTATTCTACATAAACACAAGCCCATAGCGCTCAATGAAAGGAAGATGGTTCATGGAAGTACCACGTTTACCAGACGGATGTAGTCATCGTTTGCGCCGTGCAATAGGCAAAAGAAGCGCAACGATGTAGCCCTAATGTTGAAGACTAGCGTTCAGTATAGAATATCTTAGAAGCTGTACTCGCTTGTGTAGAATGATAGGGGCTATATGATCTGTGTAAAGAGGTATGAGGAAGGCATATGATGTTAAAAACATTCAATTCTGACAACATGTCTCATGAGCTCATCGACAGCAGCACTCATGTCGTGACCATATGGAGCCTGAAACCGGAGCCTGAGGTGTCTGCACGTTCAAAAGGTTATAGATATTTTCAGGGGAATTTTTGTATGAATCACAGAAGCATTCTGCACTGACTCAGAGTAGCATATCTGTATTAGTCGTGGCGTGGGAGAATTTTGTGTGCTGGACTCTTCCACTGTACAGTGCCTCAGACACGGAGTACCTTCAACCACCTCTGCTTGACAGACAAGACCATAGAATCCAGAAAATGGAGAATAGATGTCAAATGAAAAAGAAAAATCAAATAAGAGGGATACAATAATAACAAAAATCAAATTGACAAAAAGCTCACCCTCCGTCCCCGGCGCCGAACGCGTTTTAGCACCGGCGTCTTAGGGAGGGCTACGAAAACCCCGTAGGATTTTACTAGTGGAGTCCCAGGGGCGAGGAATGACGGATTCGAACCGCTGATCTACTCGAGCCTAGGACTTTGGGGGGCCGGACTCAGCGAGGCCTAAGCTTTCCGCTCGACTATCGGGCCCCCCGTCACTGGTACTGTTAGACACCTAAAACATCTGTTCACTATGATTACAGAATGGTGCCTGGAGGAAGAGGCAGCTGCGAGGGCCTCGTAGGTCAGGCAGCAGGGTAGCATGCCTGGGAACAGTGGATGGTCATGGTAATCATGATGTCAGGCCGGGTACCTGCTGAGAGACTGACGAGGAAGGCGCCAGGGGACTGTCTGTCTTGGGTATTAAGTGTTTGCCTGATGCAGAGAAGTTTGATTGCATTCACTTAGATCAGTTCCAAGAGCTTCTTGTGACATTTGACTGAAAGAGACATGGAAGTTCATCAGACTCGCCGCGATGCTATGATGTTGAAAAAACTTTGTGGTTGGATTGGCTCTTCACTTGAGGCGAAAGACACGTGTGGGAGCATCACAGGTAAGGTATGAAAGCGTTATGCTCCAGCACATATGGAAGGTACTGACTGGTCTTCGTGTGTTGGCACAGAATTATCGATGTCAATACCCTTCGAGGACAACCCGAGTAGAGTATACGCCCGCTATAAGACAACGCATACTCAAAAACTGAGCACATGTTCACTAAGAACAAGTTAACGATACTTGCACTCTTCATTTGCTAGGGGTAACAGGTATATGCTCATGGTGGGAGGACATCATAATCACCAGGTCGGCCCATATCGCATTCAAATCGCTATTCAGAGGTTTCTCATGAAGCCATTTGTGCCATTCTTAGTTGCTTGACGAGCAAATTTCTTGAATAGATAGTAACACACTGTTGAGAGCTTTCATTCCCATCTCTCAGATCCATGAACGTGAGAAGTATGCCTGGCCATCGCGGTTGTGTATATAACGGAGTAGTCTTAATCCATTAAACAACTGTCGATTTTGGGTGAATGATTGAGCCTCGGGTGCTACATGGTAGGTCCGTGACTCTATGCTTCATTATCTCGATTCTATCAGGTGTTCTAACTCCATTCTAATATCCATTAGCCGTTGGCGAGAGCATTAACCTCGCCAAGGAAAGCCGGGTCACTGTGCGGTATTTAGCATCACCATTGGTTTGCTCGTAAAGCGTATCCACCACTAGAATTGTGGGGGTCTGCGCTTTCGGAGTGTCATTTGGCCTGGGCCTTTTAACTCTCCCCGATGATCATTACTAGTATCAATTTGCGCGATTTCCGACATCAAAAGCAACCACTTGAATCACTGAGTGTTTTCGGTAAGTGTCTGGAACTCACTGGATATAACATCAAATGATCCGAAATATTTCCGGTGCAAATCAAAATGTCTCAAAATACAACAGGAAGCTCCTCTGTTCTGGCTACGTGTGACAGTCAGAAACATGGCTGCAGGGATTGTGGAGCCGCCAAAATTTAGCTTCTTGGGTGCTATACATAGTGGAGACGGCGTGCAGTCGGGGTAACAAAAAATTAGCCGTTGCCAGCCACACATAAACAAAGACCAGGGTTGGTCCCTCCGTTGCTACGTAAAAGCTCTTTTATGCTTACAATCTGGCATTATATATGGAGAACGTATGACAGGGCTGAGAAGCATCATGTGACGCCCTGGCCCCATGACGGGTCGGCATGACCCGGTGATCGTCTTTACATTTATATAAAGCTGTGCCCAGGCCTGCCAGCCTCTCTTAGAGGATGTAAACAATCGTAGGCCCAGCCTCTAGCTGACCACGACGTCCTTGCCATCCGATGCAACATGGCTAGACGATCCCCAACCCGCCTCTTCTTCACACTAGCAATACCCCCCTTACTTGTGGGCTACGGCACGCATGTCTGGTTAAACTCACTGGAAGCAAGATATCCCCCTATTGCTCCAGATAGATCCAGCACCGAGCTGCTCCGTACACCAGCCAACTCAGCAACTCAACATGTCCCCCACATCGACATCTATGCCGCCCGGATCCGCCTCGGCGACCTCCAAGCACGGACCAACAACCCCACAGAAAAGCCCACGAAACAAGAGCTGAACATCGCCTGGGCGCAATCACTGCTAAGCTGCAGTGGACTTCGTCTAGAGGGAAAACTGATCGGACTCTTCCGCAAGTGTAAATTCGACCCAGGCGACCTGGGCACCACGACGGCAGGATTCAGTCCTGATCCAGAAACGGGAGCCCCGCGCGAGCTTCTGAATGGGGGTATGACTGTTCTTCGACAGCCAGTGGGCGACGAGCCTTTGTTAGCGAAGTGGGAGATTTCGGATGGGCCAAGGCGGTTCTTTGAGGTGATCTCTCGTTGGGGGTATCCGTGGCGCTTGATGACGGGTGGACGGCATGAGATGAGTGTGGAGGGGCCGTTTGACGGCGAAGGGGATGAGGAGGGTCTAGGGCCATTCGTGGAGGTGCGCTTCGCTTCGGCGCACACGTATGAGATTGTACCTGAGGAGGGAAGTCTTTCACAGCAGAAGACTATTCCGAAATGGGTTGCAAGGTTGCATCGTGGGTATGCGAGGTTTCTGTTGGATACTGCTGTGAAGGAGTTGGTGGAGGGGACGGAGTGACGGATTTAATCGCCTGAGTTTGGCAACGCTTGATGTGATACTACGCTGTATGTTTGGGCTATTTTGTATCTTTATGTACTGCATTTGAGCGTATAGAGTTAGATTTTGTATCAGCGTCATAGAATTGCGCACACCAGCAGGCGAAGGGTTTAGAATTGCATTATTAGCCTCCTATCGCGATGTGTGGAAATTTACCATTGAAAAACAGTTATTTATTGTATGAATCCTCTACTCTCCCGCTCAACATTCTATAGTATAGTATGGCAAAATTCTTGCACTCGGAACTATTGGGCGTCTATAAATGTGAACCACGTGCAATACATTGAGAGTTCCATTTGTCATTCATTGGCTAGCACTTGTAACAGAAACAAATGACGTATTTTGAATTATCACCCAATGTCAAAGTCAGAGTGATGTAGTTCGAGAATGTTGTCATAGTATGCTAGATTTTGGCATGGAGGCAATAGAAAACCCGACAGGGAATATTAGCTGGGATCTTTGAAGGCAGCTCAAGCCCCAACCGTGTGAATATACCCAGAGGGGAACACTGGGGAGTAAAAATAATATTCAAAGGAGGAAATTTCTCCTAATCTATTCCCTCTTCAACTCATTCATCATCAAACCATTCATCTGGGAATGGAGTTGCGTGAAAAGGTATATTCACAGCCCTAAGTCACGATTGAGTAAGTGTGAGGTATAAAGGTACAGGCTTCTCCAGAAAGAATATCCCACATATCCAACTTCAACCACGAACATGTTATCCTGCTCAATAATCTCTACCGGAGTATATAAGCCTCTTTGATATTGACAGCATTGAACAGTACGAGCCTACAGTACCGCATTCGTCTGTTACCTTTCCGTTGATATGACAGTATCGACTGGACCTTGCCGAACCTACACGATTTATCCATTACGGATGACCAAGGCAGTCAAGGATTGCATTAAACGGTGAGACCCTGACGCAAAAAGCATCAATCAGTCATTAACCATACTCAGCTGGTATGGAAGTCGGAGCAACGCACATGGCAATGGGCTATGTTCACGGAACACGGTGTTTCCCGCAGGTGAAATGGCCACGACGATACGTGAGCCCGTTTACATGTCATACTGACGCGATATACTGATCATTCAGCGGAGTCTCGGCTCATCAGGAATCAAACCGGCCGATAGTCAACCGCGAAGTCTTATATCGATACACGAAGGCTAGAGCTAAGCAATTTGAACAGCATCAAAAGATGCTAGACAATCCTGAATACCAGATAGACAATCACGAAGAGGCCTGTCAGATTCTCAAAATCGCAAATCCTAGGGCACCACGAATGTGATCTTATGAACTGATCAGCTGTTCTAAAGTTCTGGCAGCCGGTTGCCATAGCCCGTTTGCTTGATATTCGTGCAAATACTAAGGTTCGTGGTGTTATCCTTGGCGATTCTGTGGGGCTAGGAAAGACGTGGGAGGCCATTGCCTTAATGCTGAAGGTCAGCACTGCCTCCAACATGTTCACCCAACTAGGCCTTTAGGATATTTTACTACCCCCGCCAATGCGTGAAATCTTGTACTCGAAATCACGGTCCCTGTTTCCCAATTTCGATGCGTCGAGCGCTCTAACCGTTGACATGGGGTTATTGGAAGTTGTACACCCTCCATTGCTCACCGAAAGAGTGGTCCACAGAATAGAGGAACGACTGCCCAGAGCTTCTTTCCTGCCCTTTATCGTCCGGTTTTCGCGGGCCAGCGCTCTACTTGCTGTTATTCAGTCGGCGAAGTTGCCAAAGTCATTAACTGCCCCAAGGCTTCACTATCTACGACAGTCATGAGCGTGCCGTTGGTTATCAATAAGGCTTGCCTTATATAGGCAACAGGAGGCCACAGTGTACTGGATCTATTTCTTGGGAGGTGGCATGGGCTGCTATATATGGTAGCATGTCAACGATGATCAGAGGTCAGATCTGTGAAGGTTACCGTGCTGATCCTCGTGTAAGTGAGGTTATTCACGTCCTGCAGTCGGATCCTGGTGCTGACCTGCCATATTTCATGTAAGATGGGTTACTCTTTATGACTAAACGTGTCACCCATGAATTGATGGCCATACTGAAGTACGTGATGGCAATGCTACCACCGTGGACGACGGTCATCATACAGTTGCCGACGGATGCTGAATCTACCTAATTCTATCATGGATACCAGATATCTTTCGAACCATATACAACAAAAAGCATTACTGAAGGAAGCAGAGATATGGTCCTGCCTTGCATGGTTTAGCAATCTACAAGCGTCACACATTACTTCGCGACTATGGCTCAATGCCCAACCTACCTCGAAAACAAAGTTGGCAAAGACAGGGCATCCTCATGGATTGCTATGAGGTTCATTGTTGATCTTCCAGTTGACAATTGGACTGATCAAGGTCGATACACCAGGATATCACTCGTCTTCGGTAAGCTAGTACTATGGAAGTGTATCTTAATATAACTAACTCAAATAAAAGCTGCCCAGATGTGTAGGAGATTGAATACTTTTGTTATCCCAATATATCAGCTCATGTTTTGTATAAAATGAATAGTAAAATAAATATAGTCGCCCCCAAGTCTGGGGGTAGAGGCGGGATTACAGTCATAGACGTCCTATCTAATATATATTCACGGCAGCAGCCAGACAGCGTGAAGTATCGGATATATGATCAAGAAACTGACGTCACGTCGATGCGATAAATCTTTAAATTACTTATTTACCATTGGAAACCTTTTCAAATCTAAGGAAGTCACACAACTCCCTTTCTTTCAAAGAGGCACTGGATCTACTAAATCGGGGTATAAGAGGAAACGAAGAATAAGTTAATCGCCTCCGCTCTAGGAAAGAAGAGAAAAGAGAAAGCTTGCGCTCTCAGAACTTACCTGCCTTTTGACTCTACTGCACCTACCAATATCGAAGCTCCCCTTTCTCTCCCTTTCTCTGCAAAATGGAATTTCTCTCGAAAACCCTTCGCTGGGTCACCGGTTGTGACCTTACTCTCGACATGATGGGTCTGTCCACAATTTCCTTCCTATAATCCTATGATCTTGGTCTCTAACGTGAAGAATTCCAGAGCCCGATCCACTTCACTCCCCACGGGAAAGAACTGTCAAGGAACTCGCACGGATGCTTGAGGAGAACCGAGTGATACACGTTAGAGGCACGCCCGCCTCAGGCAAAACAATCCTGGCCCGCCTCCTCTCAAATCACTACCGCCAGGAGAGAATCGCAGTCATAACTTTCCACTCCTGGCGAACTACCCCACCCCAATACTACAAGGACAAGATTATCGACGAAGCCCGCCGGCGAGGCTACCGCCAGTTCGATGCACAGTTTGTCGAGGATGGGAACTATGTCCTCATCTTAGACGAAGGACAGATGACATACCGTGATGAAGCTCTTTGGATTGAACTCATCAAAAATCAAAGTGGATCACACTTTGGACCCAGAATCTGTATTTTCACCTGTTACGGCAGTCCTACCGAAGGGCCAGATTCGGAGTACAGCGCCGGAAGTCCTCTGGCATATCTAGGTCCTCAACAAAGGGTGTCAATCACTCCGTCATTGATCCAATTCTCGCCGTGGGTTGCCCTCTTCTACAACTCCGAGGAATTCGAAGACGTGGTGGAACGATTCTGTCATCGGGAGAGTCAGAACCCGCAGCTCAGGTTAGACGGGACGGCGCGAGAATACATTTTCAATCTTACTCATGGCCACCCCGGTGCGGTTGATGGCTTACTTCACATGTTGCTCCAGGTGACTCCTTCCTCCCTGAGCAACTACGAGCCCGCTTTCCTATATATACCATCACTGATTGTGGTAATAGGTCTATCATAGCGAGCTCAAACATGAAGAAATCACACTCAATGATAGCCATATCATCAGCAGTCTGGACAACGAAGCACAAGCGTTCGCATACCTCATGAGCGCCCCGGTCAGCCGCTCGTTCCCTCGACCCAAGAGAGTCTCCCCCGAAGCCGCAGAGATCCTTCGGAAGGCGTTATCAGAGGGGAATGTTGATCGTGATCTCAACAATGAAGGGATCAAGCAATGCTATGAGAACGGCTGGCTGCACTCTGAGCCAACGGATGCTGATGCCGAGCACATAGTTTGTGTGTTCCCGACGCGGCTGCATGCAAAGTAGGTGGCCTGGTCTCATGGGGAGTCATTTGATGCTAATTAAATTAGATTCGTAGAACACTACTGGACTAGTTCAACTATGGATTTCCCCCTTGAAAGGTACCCGAACATCACGGCTTTAGCTCAAGCCGTATTAGCGCGCTTTTCACCCAGGAATATTTCTGGCGGGACTCGACGTTTTGGTGACGCAGCCATTATCCGACCTTGGGAAGCGACGTACCAAGATGAGTTTTATCGCGCTGCCCACGAGGTCCTCGGATATGCGATGAACGTTACGAGCGAGTGGTCCTCGGGAGGACAGGGACGCATTGATTTCCGATTTGCCCAGGTCGGATGGAGAATCGAATTACTACGAGAGGGTGACCGATTGAAAGAGCATTGCGAACGATTTGCCTCCACTGGGACCTACGCTCGCTGGATTGCAGATGGGTCGATCAAAGATTGGCTCATAATTGACTGCAGAACAACCCGGCCAGAACCTTATGGTGAGAATCAGAACTGTCTATCATAGGTCTTCCGTGCTGATTTGATGTTAGGCATCCCTGATCCCAAGTTCTGGCGTGCTGTTTTTGCCGCCGACTATTTGTCAGTCGAAATTCTCGACTGGTCAAACAAGGTTCTTTTCCCTAAAATCCCCCTAATGTCTTCCTAAAGCGACCCAAGATCTTCTACCGCGTGGATTGAGGACCGGACCTCACAAACTGATTACGATCAACGACTGATAATGGGCAAAGCGCGGCTGGGTGTGCATGTATATAATACACGTTACTTGCGTAAGTAGCTAAATGGGAGATCGAAATCAGGTAATCGAGAAAGCTTTTTGATAAGTATGAGAGAATGTATTGCTTGTCCAAAGTGCTCTTTAATGCTGTATAGAAAGATATATGGTGCCTCTTTACACGAGTCTCTGTTGTTGTAGGTAAAAAATATTCTCTACAGTGAGTGAATGAATATCGCTGGCGGTGATCACGTTGCATAATAGATTTTAAACAACACTGGATTGATCACCTTGAAGCTTATTTTTTTTTGTTAGTTTGTATAATAGTTGTGAAAATACAACTCTAGATATTGAATAATATAGATAATTTTTTAGAGATAAGCGAAATTAGACGCTGAAACTTTGGTCGGGGGGTATTGTTGAATCAGAACTTATTTGCTGCCCTGCTACTGAGCAAGACATGACCCTGTCGTCTACTGACTGTATCACGAAGTTGAGTGAAGTTTAGAACAACCATACCCTTGAGGTCGATTACGCTGCGGTCAGGCTCTTGAACGCAACATGGACCAGCCAAGATCGCAATAGCAAACAGCAGGATCTCTTAAGACAAATATCCTGGCTGCGAATCTCGAACTATGAGAGATAGAATTACATCTACATACCTCAAAAACGTTGCATAGTAACTTGATAGACTAGTATGTAATAACTATGCTTCGCTTCAATATCAATAACTGGCTATATCCCATCTCTAGATGTGCACATAACAACCAACATCCACCACCCACCCATTACCAACACCCTAGCCCCCTTCAAACCCAACCCCCCAGAACACACAGAGAGCAAAAAAGAGAGAAAGAAATCAATCAATCGCACGCTTCTCCCTTCGCAACAGCCCTCCACCCCCTCCATCCCTCATACTTAACACAAACCCCCCACCCATCGCGAATCTCCCCAACCAACTCCCCAGAGTCACAACTTCCACTGCCATACATGCAGAGATCGAACTGCGGCTCGGACGGACTCTTCCACGAGACCGTGTCCACAATACTCAGATTCAGGCCCCGGACGGTGGCCAAATCCACACACGATCGCTCGGAGACGCCCTGCGCATGGTAGACGCTGATGTCGAAGTTGGAGCCGCTGGGTTCACAGCCTGGTTTGAGGAGGCGGAGGTCCCACTTTTTTTTGGGTTTGAGTTTTATGTTAGTTTCATGAGTGGATGATATTTAGGAGACTGTGGTTATGATTGGAATGGGGGAGGTACATTTCTGGGTCTCAGGGTGTCGGCGGTGGTTGCTGTTCCTAGGGTTGCTAAGGCTGTGAGGAGGGTGAGGGTTGGGAGCTGCATTTTTGGTGGTGTTGGTGGGAGGTGGTGAGGGGGAGTAGAGGGAGGACGATCTAGAACGAGGTGGCTAGGGGTTGGAATTTATTTATAGGGGAAACCGACCAGGTCCCTTTTTTGTTTCTTTTTTTGATCCACCTGACTACTCATTGAGTTTGTAAATTGCCAGGAACCCGAAGTCACTAATGCGGCCACCCGAAACACGGCAAATGACAAAACCCCGGGGCACTTCCACCGGCCCGGCCATTGGCTCGCCGATGTGATGAACTACGAGAGGAGCAGGAGGAGTCGACGACTGAGCATACAGCGATGCAACCCTCATTTCTTAGCATGCAGGGATCTTGGTCCACAGTTCTATTAATACATCGACCGTGCAGGAATGTTGCAAACAATACCGCCCGTGTCCATCTATAGTAAACCCGTTTATCGTTTTTTCTCTATTTGGCCGGTCTATTGCCTGCCGTTCGGGGATAACCGCCACGCCCGCAGGGGAAGTCCCTGCAGCTTCAGCACGGCCGGTCGGATAAACATGAAAAAGGTGACAGTGCCAATCAAAACGCAGATAATGTTCGTCGTGTAATATCCATCCCGGAGGGTGTGACAGGAACCGCCGCCATTTGTGCAACGGTTCTTGTCGGGTTCCAGAGCACAAGAGAAAGGCGCTGTAACCAGTTCACCCTTCAACTGGTCCGCCGCAGGAGGAACACTGGGAGGGGTACATGTCGCTTCAGTGAACATGTCCACAAGCTTCAGGATGAAGTAGCGTGGGAATGTGCCGCCCAGGTTGGAGACACTGCGCGAGTCAGTTTACAGTTACACCAATTTCATATCATGCAAAGGGGCAAGGGAAGGAGAGAGTGGAAAACTCACGTAGCCAGTAGCGTCATGTACGTCCCTCCAATCGCGGGATCGGAGATGCGTGCATGGAACGCGGATACAGCCACAAACATGACCGTGTTCATAAAAGTGGACAACACATGCTCCCCAATCACCGTCAGCATATACCAAAACGGCACTTCCGATCCCGACGGATAAATCATAACGGTGAACTGCGCCAGAACCGCCGCCGCCAGTCGTCCGATGAACGCCCAGCACCATAGGCGCATGGGAGTATACTCGGTCGACCATTTGCCAGCGTAGTAGCCCAGGCCAATCTCGAACGGGAAGTCAATCAGCACGACCAAGGCCATGTTGTCTTGTCCAAAGCCCTTGTCCAACAACTTTAAACTGGTTACGCCGTCGTTGGCCTGGAATCCGATCTTGGCAATCAGGTGCACCAGAATGATGGTCTGAACGTTCTTGAGTTTAAGTACGCTCCACATGCTCTTATACACATCCGAGATACTGTCCCGCTCATGGGTTTTGTCTTCCTTCTTCATGACTGCCAGACAAGTCGTCACCACCAGGTACGCCCAGCCCCAGAACGTCAGATACGTCCCCAAGGAAAGTAGCCCCCCCTCTCCGGGGGTGGCCCGGAACCAGCGATTGGCGAAATCCTGCGAGTTGAATGCGAGGAACACCGTGTACGACAAGAAATGGCCCGCTGTCAAGCCGACCGTCTGGGCGGTCGAGGCATAGGAGATGTTTGGTGGGGACATGAGCGTAATGGCCCATCCGTCCACCGCAATGTCCTGCGTGGCGCAGAAAAACACCAGCAAGAACCACCAGTATGTAAAGTTCCAGACCCCAGCGCCCCCGTTAGCGCCCGCCTGCACCATCATATCACCAATTTTCCCGCCCATATAGATCATGGCCAATCCGGCAATCACCTGGACCGGAGTGATCCAGCTCTTGCGGCGACCAAACCTCCGACTCCAGACCGCATCCACAATGGGGCTCCATAGAAGTTTGAGCGAGTAGGGGTACGAAGCGAGGGAAAAGACACCGATCTGGCCGTAGGACAGGTAGGGTTTGAGGAGGAATGGGACCGATCCTGTGGCTAATCCCATGGGCACTCCCTGAAGAAAATATAAGACGCATAATAGCAAGAAATTTCTCTTATCGCTTGGTGGGAGGTTCGAGAAACTCGTCGTGGTTAGTCCCGGTGTTTGCGGGGTGACCGGGGGGTCGTGGTCTAAGGAGAAGCTGGGGCGGGACATAATACGGGAGGCTTGTGCGGACGAGGTCGATTCGATAGAGGTCTCCCTCTTGCGCATTTCAATGTTGGAATTCATCCCGTCTCTCACATAGCCGTTCTGGCCGGTCGCAACTCTCAGGGTCGGCTTGGAGCGACGTTTGGACACTGTGCGGTCCTTGCGCTTCATCGGTAGTTCCGTTTGTAACGGGACAGCTCGGAGTCGCGTCGCGCGTTGTTTGTTGGGATTCAAGAAGGGCTCAAAAGGAAGTCTCGATGATTGTTGGCGCGTCAGATACGGTTCGTGGGTGGTCCCTGGTCAGTTCTGCATACTAGTCCGTCGATCGCTTAGCTTAAACTCTTCGGGGTGGTCGGCCCAGGATGACGTGAGAGGTGACGGAAAAGACAGAATTGAAGAAGAAGAATGGCAATATAGGGCCAAACGAGAGTATAGAGTGAACTTGGAACTGGAAAGAATTGCAGGGATAGGAGTTTTCGACCGGCGTAGTTCCTCCGATATCCGTGGAGGCGAAGCAAGTCCAGGAAAGTCAAAGGTGTCCTTAACGATCAACTCGTTTTCAGGGTCACTTACTAACTCATTAACCCAAAGGGGAAACTCTGGTTTCCCCAGGTGACCCACTCGATCTGCAGGCTCCCATTGGCCCGAGCTTCTCTGCAGAAGAATGGCACTGACACCTCAGTCACCCAACGATCTACTCCGTCCTCACTACACTTAGGTTCTACATTCTACGTTCTACATTCGATAGACAGCATGCCCTTATCTTCATAATTCTTGATTTTCTCGGTCAAAGTGCTATCTTCGACTCGTCATCCTCTCTGCTAGCTCTCAACAACAGATTCGTCACCGTCTCATGCCCGTTCACCACAGCCTGAAACAATGGTGTGCGGCCCAGGAAGTCCTTAGAGTCTACATCCACTTGTCCACTGTCAAGCAGCAGCTTCACAATTGTAGCGTGACCATTCTGTGAGGCCCAAGCGAGTGGCGATGCGCCTTCATGATCTCTCGAGTCCATATCAACCTTTCTGGTTTCTAGCAATAAACGTACCACTGTCTCGTGTCCATTTTCTGCAGCCCGGGACAGTGGTGTTCGACTAAAATTGTCTTTAGTATCCGCATCAACTACTCCAGTGTCGATCAGCAGTTTGACTAAGAAGTCATGTCCGTTTTCTGCGGCTCGCGATAGCGGTGTTCGACCACCCTCGTTGTCTTTTGAGTTCACTTCGGCTTCTCCAGTTCCAAGGAGCTCCCTGACCACCGTATCATGTCCAAACTCCGCAGCACACCCGAGTGCTGTCGACCCAGTGACATCTTTTGAGTTTACATCGGCTTTGCCGGTGTCGAGAAGGATCCTCACTACCGCCTCATACCCTGATTGTGCGGCCAATGCTAGTGGGGTTAGAAGCAGATGATCTCTTGAATTCACATCAACCAGCCCGGTGTCAAGTAGCAGTTTTACCACAGCGGCATGTCCATATTGTGAAGCCCAGCCTAGCGGAGCCCGACCCAGCTCAAAATCCACGGCGTTCGGATCAACCTGTCCGGTTTCAAGTAGAAGCTGGACCACCTGCTCGTGCCCGTTCATCGCGGCGATGGACAATGCAGTGAAGCCTGTTTCATCGCCCGCATCCAGGTGAGCGCCCGCCTGGATGCTGATTTGTGCAGTATCTTTTGCTCCGTGCGCTGCAGCCCATACTAGCGCCGAGCTTTCTGAGTTCCATGCATTGAATCGATACAAGTATGGGTTGATGACAGCATGAAGCAGGCGGTTGACTTGAGATAGAGCATTTATATCCTCCTCCGTCTCAAGAAACTCAGCGACGCACAATAAAAGCTCACAGGGCAAGTGCAGCAACGACATTGCTGTTTGTTGTGGAAACACAAGGACGGGAAGCGGGAGCGGGACTGATAGCGGTGATGTTCTCGCACACGCGCCGGGCGGCATAAGACTTGACACCAGCTTCAAGCGGGGCACGGATGATCAAGAAATAACAAGGTTTCTCGGTCTCGATATGACCGGCCTTAACGCTGTCTCAAAGTGGACAAACTGTTGAAGCAACCTACCATGGCCTCGCGCCCAACGCCCTGCCTCTTATACCCCTCGTCTACCATCCGTTGTCTCTAACTGCTACCTCGCGGATTCACTGAGACACGGACTAATAAATTAACTAATTTACTGACTAGCGTACCGTGACCTCGACGAGGAGATGGTTGAATCCAACATCACCGCTTCGAACGGGCCAGAACCGGCTCTGATTGGTCAACAGGGGTTGTAAAGTCGGTATGCCATCGTTGGTTCCTCGTCTTGAGACACGCAGGCTAAAAGCGGAGACTGGCACGCCGTCGATCCTTCTTTGTACTAGACCCATGGGTCCGGTTGGGTCCCGAGCAATGAGGAAGTACCCTTCTCTACTACGGTGACTTTAGCCATTTCTAGCATTTACCGGCTTTCCCACGGTCATAGCAGGGAAGTCCAGAGTATCGAGTACTCCTTGATACCCCTATACCGTTCCTAATTTCTCCGTTAGCTGTCTAGCCTCCCGCTATAGCATTGTAGACTCACTACGCCGATACTTCCTTCCCCAGTATATGGAAAACTCAATCCCCATGATTCTAATTCTTCATCATACAACTTCATATAACTTCATATCCCATTCCCTTCAAGAATTTCATACATACTATCCGGAAATGAAGCAAGGAATAAGGGCTTGATTGCTTACTCAAAGGCCTTGGGAACTAGTAGGCGCCTATAAAAAGATCACATGATTATCTCCATTTCAAACGAATACGCTCCATTATCGTCCACAATTCTTCCGTACACTCGTTACTGCCAACCAGACAACGCATAAGAATGGCGTTTGGAGATGTTGATGTTGGAAGTGGTCTCAGAGAATGCTTTTCTCTCCCTAGTATTCATCTTCTTCTTGCTGTCCGTTGCCAGACCTATGTTATGAAGTTGATAAGTTGAATAGTTATACTCAACATCTTACGGGCCACTTACTCTACACCATCATGGACAAGTATTGCAAGCTAAAGAATCGTGAGTTGTATATTCACACCCCTAAGACTTTGATGGCAAGGAAACATACAACAAATAATAATTCACAAACAAACAAAGACATCTTACGGAGAGGGAGGAGGTAATCGTAACCCAATTCAGGGATTATCTTGTAAGTGTGTGCTTGGTGTAACCATTTCTCAGATATTGATTGTTTACTGTAGCAAGCTGATTCCCCGAATACTGCTTTGGCTCTACATGGCTGGCTTCTTAGCTCAGTGACTACAATCACAACTCTTGGCCATGGTGTGCATGGGTTGAGTCTTGTCTAAAGCCTGTCTACATTCGACATCTACTAAGCTGTTTTCTGGCATCTAGGGCGTGTGTGGTTGCATCTGCCATGTTGACACCCACATGCGTAACGTTACGTCCTCCGGCTTTATAGAATCAACATGGCTGGGAGCCCAGGTCCCCAACTTTCCTGAATTCACCTGAATGGTTATATTGAGACAATGGAGTCTGAGCGGTAATCTGTCAGGTCTAGGAGTGAGGTATCTAGGCTTTTGATTCGTCTAGACATGTCTGCCTCGACACGGTCAAGTAGGAAGATCCATTCTATATTTAATCTGCAACCCAAAGTCAAGTTTACACGACTCTCAAAAAGGCATACCTTCGCACATATCGTACTGTTTGCTTTCTTCTGTCTTTCTTTTCAAGTTCACCAAACATGTTTATTCGCCCCCAAAATATACCCCGTTCATCGAAAACGTCCCGCGGTCCGCGGAAGCCCGTACTCCACCCCAGCCAAGACGCAAAGAAGGCTCTAAGGCCACTCTAGAAGTGTCAAGCACATTAGAGTGTCTTAGCGCAAGGAACCGCCCTTTAGCGGCTTGTCCAGGCAACCCCATAAAGTGGCACTGCCCACTTCCCCAACTTCCTCAATTTACAACCTAATTTACAGCCCTAGGTATAGGCCAATCGACATGCCACCCACATTGCCAGAGAAAACCGATTACACACGATGGCGACTATTAAACGAGGACGGCCGACACACATGGCACTACCTGGAAGACGGCGAGTCCGCGCGAAAATGGCCCCAGACGTTAGCCGATAAATACTATCTCGGTTTACCACTGGTATGCAGTTATCTAGTACTCATATGCCGAGTAGCATTCACCTAACGCAACATAGGACCTTCCCAATCTTCCACCGTCAACATCCCCCTTGGAGGCAGTCCACAATGGTCTGAAATTCTTCTCTAACCTGCAACTCTCCGCTGGGAACTGGGGATGTGAGTACGGCGGCCCCATGTTCCTACTACCCTGCGTCGTCTTCGCGTGGACTGCAACCGCAACCCCGATCCCCTGGTCTTACGCAACGGAGATCAAATATTATCTCTTTGCGCGAGCTGACCCAGTCGACGGAGGCTGGGGTCTGCACACCGAAGGCGAAAGCACCGTGTTCGGCACGAGCCTCAACTACACCGTCCTCCGCCTGCTCGGCGTCCCTGCCGACCACCAGGTGATGATTAAAGCCCGCACCCTGCTGCATAAGCACGGCGGCGCCGTGTACGCGCCCCACTGGGCCAAGTTCTGGTTGGCGCTACTCGGCATCGCGGACTGGGACATTGTGAACCCCATCCCGCCTGAAACGTGGCTCTTGCCGGACTGGGTGCCTGTCGCACCGTGGCGGTGGTGGATACATATGCGGCAAGTGTTCCTGCCAATGTCCTTTATTTGGTCGAGACGGTGGACGATGCCTGAGACGGAGGTGATTCGGTCGTTGCGGAACGAGTTGTTTACTCAGGATTGGGAGAGCATTGACTGGAGAGGGAACCGAAACTCCATTGCCGAGATTGACAACCATCATCCGAAGACTTGGGTGCTCGGCTCTGTGAACTGGTGGTTGAGCGAGGTGTGGATGCCGTTTTTGAGGCCGCGGTTCGTGGCTACCTGGGCTGAGGACTGGGTGAGCAAGCTGGTGGATATGGAGGATGAGAACTCCGACTATGCTGATTTGGCATCTGTGAACGGGCCATTGAATATGGTGGTTTGTTTCATACGGGATGGGGGTGATGCGTATTCCGTCAGGAGACACCGGGAGCGGCTGGAGGATTTTCTATGGGTTAATAAGGAGGGCATGCTAGTGAATGGGACGAATGGGGTGCAGTGCTGGGATACGGCATTTTTGGTGCAAGCGGTTCATGCCGCTGGTTTGACGGAGAGTGAGGAGTGGAGGCCTATGTTGGTGCGGGCGTTGGAGTTCCTGGATCGCCAGCAGATCAGGGAGAACTGTAAGGATCAGGAGGTGTGCTATCGCCATCCGCGGAAGGGGGCTTGGGGGTTCAGTAATAAGGACCAAGGGTATGCTGTGTGCGATTGTATCTCGGAAGCCTTGAAGTCGGTGATTCTGCTCCAGAAGACCCCGGGATACCCGCAGTTGCTTGATGATCGGAGGATCTTTGATGCCGTTGATACGTTGCTCACGTATCAGAATCCCTCTGGCGGATGCTCATCTTATGAACAGACTAGAGGTGGGGAGTATATGGAGATGTTCAATGCTGCGGAGGTGTTTGGACGGATCATGGTTGAATATGATTACCCTGAGTGTACGACTGCGGTGGTCACAGCATTGACATTGTTTAAGAAACACTGGCCGGATTACCGATCGAAGGAAATCGAGGTCTTCATCCAGCGTGCGCTGGGATATATCAAGAAAGCCCAGTTCCCTGACGGCAGTTGGTACGGAAGCTGGGCTGTCTGCTTCACGTACGGCACCATGTTCGCTTTGGAAAGTCTGGCATCAGTGGGAGAAACATATCAAAATAGCGAGTGCGTCAGGAAGGCATGCCACTTTCTACTATCTAAACAGAGAGAGGACGGTGGATGGTCTGAAAGCTGCGAGGTAAGTTACCATTTTCAATTTAATACTGGGTCTGTATTGACAGGATGATAGGGCTGTCGACAGATCAAGTACATCGAGCATCCAAGCGGCTCTCAAGTTGTGCAAACGGCATATGCGGTCATCGGCTTGCTCTCTGCTGAGTATCCGGACATCAAACCTATTGAAAAAGCTATTCGATTGATAATGGCGAGACAACAGCCCAATGGCGAGTGGCTGCAGGAAGCCATTGAGGGTATGTTCAATAAGACATGTGCCATCTCCTATCCTAATTATAAGTTCACGTTCACGATGCTGGCGTTGGGGAAGTTCGCTCGGACGTATCCTGACTACAGAATTACTTGATTCTTGATGCTATGTTATACTATTTGTATTTATCTGGCACAATTACGAGGCCATGAGCCATTATACTTAATTCGCAGGGTGTACATTCTCTCACTCCGATCAGACAGATTGTATAACAGAATATGCATATACCACATGAACACAAATGAGCGAGAAAAAATAACCTATGTCTAAACTCATTCTGGAAACTACTCTAACCAACCTAAACTCTACATCCCCCAGGAATTCCCACCTTCTTCAACAACGTCATCCCAGCAAACCCAGGATATCACAAACCCCAAGATCTCGCACCTACTTCCCATCCAAGACACAACCCTCACAAGCAACCTAACACCAACATAACAACCCTAACTGCCAAGCTAAGTAACAATCCAGAACAACCAAAATTCCACGCCAAACTCCAGACAGCCGCTGATCTACGACCCTGCCGGAAGTATCTGCCGCTGACATCATACGCCTCTGCACGTCCCTTGGGCGCTGTATCTCCAGATCCCACGGGTCCAGCAGCGTGATGGTATCAGCGGCGACGTCTTACTTTTATTTCTAGGTTAAACGTAAACTCTGTTCATTAAGCTATGGGATATGACGTTGTGGGGAGTGTTCTGGGCCCTTCTGGTGACATCACAGGGGGCTGCCTGGTTTGCGGCCGTATACTACTACCCTGTGTACAGTTAGTATGGAGTTATGTCATGGCTTAGTATTCAGGGTAAGATATAGAGTTGAGTAGAACGAGAAGGTAGGGTAGTATATACTTCTCCTGATAAGCATGGATACTCGGATCGCGCAGTCCCTGACGCATACGCGCGAGGTACACATCGACTTCCTGCCGAGTCCACTGTACACAACATATGAATATTAGCATCATCACACAGATTCGTAGACTTAAGATACACAGCAGCACACCAGGAGAGTCAAGTGCAGAACTAACTCACGTTCAAGAACCTCGTCAACAGCATCATAGTCCACCCCTCGATCCCCATCTCCCACTGCAACCGATTGTACTTGCCCAGCACCTTCAAACGCGGATCCTTCGCCCACGGCCCGACAGGACACTTGAAGCGGTGTTCCTGGACGTCGACGAACCCGGCCTGTATCATCTTCTCCTTCGCTTCGTCCACGATGCGTAGCGTCTTCCCGAATGCGTCACCGGCTTGCAGCGACACTCTGCCCCATTCGTCGAAGACGGTGTGGGCTGTGCTGCCGTCGTCGGATTTGGGCACTACGGACACTTCGACTTGTTCGAGGTAGCCGTTTGGTTTTAGGTGACTGATTTGGTGTGGGATGTTTGTTAGTTGGGTGGGCAGGGTTGTGGAAGGGAATGAGAAGGGAAGAGGGAGAAGGTAAGGGACGTACTCAAGAGCTTCTTTGTAGAATTTATCCCAGTCTGCTACGCAACCGTACAGGCCGCGGACGTGGATGAAGTCGAAGCTGTCTTTGCCGTAGACCCAGTCGTCGCAGCAGTCGTCGACTTCGAAGTGCAGGTTTGGTGGGACCCAGGTCGGTTGGATGGGGGAGAGGTCTGTTCCGATTACCTTGGCAGCGGGGTGCGTGTCTGCGAAGTCACTGTCGTGCTCATTAGTATTATAGATCTGCTTGATGTGGAGGTAGGACGGACATAGCCCATATACCGGTTCCTGTGCCGATGTCGAGGACACGCTGTGTTTGGGTGGGTTAGTTAGTTGGAATTGAATATGCGATGTAAAAGTGTGCTTACTTCGACGTTCTTTGGGATCGGTGCCAGGTAGAGCTTTCCGTCTAGCAGGAGGTTGAAGACGTGGTGGCTGGGTTGGGTTAGTTGGTTGGTGTTGACTGGAGGATGGACTGTTTACCCTATGTCTAGTTGTTCCATGGCTTTTTCGTCGTTGGGGCCCCTTTATGGTACTGATCAGTGGATAGAGCTGAATATGGGGTAGAGGGTAGATCTGTACCAATATGATCCCGCATGGTAGGCGTGGTAGCGTCGTCCATTATCATAGTGGTAGTTCATGATACTGCTGCAGAGCGAAGTCCATTCTCTAGAAGATAGATATCGTCAGCTTTGTATTGTCCTAATCCCAGCCCAGGGGAGCAGATAGGAAAATAGTACTGAAGGAAGACTCACGACTGCGCACTGTCTCCATACCCCGACTCTGCATCCTACCAAATATCCAAATCATCAGCCAAAACTAACACAGTGCGCTCGAGACAACCAAACACAGGACATAGCATACGGTATCGACCTCCATAACATCAGACCCATTCACACGCGACATCACGAAAACCATCAGCAAGCGCAACAAATTGGGGAGACGTCCGCACCACCACCCCTCCCGACCCCCAGATATTAATATCTAGTGGTACCGGACAACACCCATGTCAGTACTCCTTCGTCTCGTCTCGTAATCTAACGTCTCATCGCATTATTGGTTGCGCTCTCGGCTGTTAGACATGGGGGGCCATGCATGGACGAACTAGTCCTGCATGGTCTCGGAAGCCCTAACGGTCGACTCCACTGCGTATCATTAGCGTTCCGACGCTAGTCTCCTGTGTCATTGTCAAAGGAGCCATCCTAGTGTCGGACGGGATTGGTGTATTCGTATTACATGGTGCTTGGATGTAACATCGTTTGGATGGGGTGGCTCTTCTAGATTGTGTTGGGGAGATGGTTTGTTGTACAGGATGACTCGGGGTTTATCGGGTAAGGGCCTGGGGAATGTGAAGTTTCCTTGCGGCGGGCGGTAGAAGTATGCATGGCTTTGACAGATTCAATGCTCCTCGGCAAGAGCGCATATGAAGGTCATGCCATTGCCCAGTCCTGCATGTCTCACTCGTCGATATTATCCTCGGGATAGGTATCTCGGCATGGGATGCTACTGCTGTCGCTTAGGAGCATTCACGGTTTGGCTCTCATCCTGCAGGATTTTGTTTGTTTATTTGTTTGAAGTCTTGTAGCCTGCGTTGTGTCTAGAAGATGAGACCAATTATCTGCAGAAACCCCATATTATGTCGTGAATTCGATGTCCACTACACCAACATCTTTGTATACATACTGTATCACGTGACTGTAGCAAAATAAACAAACACTCCACCCTAAGGCAGCTTGCCCATCCCAGAACATCGTCGCAACTCTCCACATTCCCAACTTAATCTCTTGTCCAAAATACCAGCATCCATAATGGACACTACAGAACCTCCCAAGAACATGGAGGAGGAGCTGGACTCCGAAATAGCCACCGTCCGCGCCGAAAGTACGCTTCCACCCCCCTCAGCGCCGTCGCAACGCTAACACAGATAAAAACAGTCCGCAATCTACAACGCAAGCGTCGCTTTCTAGCCTCCAGTCTACTCTCCTCGGATAACTTCCAGAAATATCTCCAGAAACATCAGTCTTCAAGACCTTCTTCATCTCTAGACGCAGAAGTGTCTCCGTTGGTCCGCGCCGCAGGACAACACGCCGAAGTGAACCACCACCGAGTCGCATTCTCAGCCACGACCTTCCCGTTCAAAGATCCGTCCCCGAACAGTGAGAATCCGAATTTACTGGGTGTGCGAATCGACGTCTGCACGAGCAATGGTCGTTTTACGAAACCGTACTATGTTTTGTTGAAGCGGGTGCGCGGGGAGGACAAGAGGCTGCGGGTGCATCGACATACGATTCCGGCCTTCATCTCGGTGGACAAGCTTGAACGCGCTTTTTTGCCTGTGCCTGCCGCGCGCGAGGAGGAAGCAGGGGAGAACTTGAAGCCGTGGAAGAGGAGCGCGAATCGGCAGAATTTGTCGAGGTTTGTTCGCGAGTTGAGACGGCAGTTGGCTGCGTGGCATTTGAGGATGGATGCCGTGAATTTCCTCCGGGGCAAACTCGGTGTGCAGCGGCGTGGCGTTGAAGCTTATAGCGATGATGATGACGGCGTTTGGGTGCGAGATATTTTATCGGACAACCTGGAGGAAATCCGGCTGGATACGAATGACCTCGGCATTGTGTCTCTTTCCCCCACCGCGCTCGATGCAACGTATGTTCGACTGGAATGGGAGGATGGACGGGTGGGACGATTCAAAATGTCCGATAACGGGGTCGTGGAGCGTGCGGTGGTCATTGGCGATGATGGACGAGACAAGTTGCTCGAAGCTGTCTTGACTGGCGGGAATGGTCGCGTGGAGACGGTACTGGACCGATTGAAGCAGCATTTGGTTTCCAAAGAATAAGCTTGGGCTGGTCCCATTTTGAGTCTAAGAGCTAGCATATACCCAAAGAGTTCGTGAATTAATCAAATTAAAACATCTTCGAAGCCATAAGTACATGTTGGTATATTCCCAGTGTTGAGTGCAAGGATATCTAAATGCTCAAAGAGGCGCAAATCTATGTAGTGGAGAAAAGTATCCAGAAAGAAGTGAAGTATGCACAAGAAACCACAAAGCCGCCAAAGTGTATAATGATGCCCCATCCAGAAAGCAAGCGCACCGAATGCAGGAAAGAAATGTCGTAAAATTACAAAAAAATAGATGTCAGCAATAGCCGAAGTATAAAACATTAAGCTAAGTTGAAGTGATATGTCACTGTTAATATATGCAAAGGGTGAGAACCAGAAAGAGAGGAAAAGGGAAAGGGTATCACTGGGACATCGCATCATAAATTATAGTAGCGGTTCACCTCTCTTCCGGTGCACCTGTTCCTCATCACCGCTTGCACTGGTTGCGTTCTCTTCCGAAACGGAAATCGCCGAGTCGCGCGTCTCATAGCGACAGTCGGCGAACGACAAAGGGGCCAGAGGCCCGTAGGGTTGGTCGTATTGCATTTCGAGCTTCTTCCGGAGAATTGCCTCTTCCAGATTCCATCGATGGCGTAGTCTTGTCTTCTTGGCTTCAAAGACTTGCAGAGCCGATGCCTCCTCTAGCTGGTGGTCTCGTTGGAGGTTGGCAAACTCCAGCGCGTGCTTGTCGATCAAATCGTCCAATTCTTTCTCCATGCGGGCTGTAACTTCCTGGAGCTTGAGTTCTTGGCGGTCTCTTAGTACTTTGATTTTGGCTTCGTGAAGTCGGTCCATCGATTCATGGTCGTGGTATTCCTGAGCTAGTTGAGCCTTGTGTTGTGGGGTATACTTTCGAGTAGACGGTGATATCTCGGGTCCTGACGGCGATCCGGGGGAAGATGGAGGGCTTGCATTGCTGAAATAGCCCTCCATATACTTGATTCGAGTACGGGAATTCATCTTCGCTCGCTCAAATTCGCGAACTTGATCCATTTCCACCGCGAGTTGTCGTTCCTCCATGCGGCTCGCATCGGCGATATTCTAGTCAAAAGGGTGAGTAATTCGAGATGAGCACACACACTGACAAGGGACAATCACCTTTTCGCGCTTCTCTTCTTCTGCCCGTTTGTTAGCTGCGAGCCGGTCGGCAACAATAGTTTGGTGGTTGCGTCGGAGTTCACGCATGAAAGCGTCCTGAAAGGTCATGTGCCGGTTCTTTTCCATCTTTTGGGACTCGCGCATCTGCCTGAGGTCCGCATTCTCAAGGCTCCGCCGAACGCTCTCGTTGTCAAACACCGGGATCTCCAGCCTCAGTACCGGGCTCTCTTCATCCGCACTATCGTGACCCCGCGGTTCACTGATTTTGGATTCCACATAGTATTTGTCAACCCCTCCTTCACCCTTCGCAACGGTGATCTGCGCAGCCGGGGGAAGTAAGACAGCGGAGGGTGAACGCCGTTTCCGGAAATGAATCTTGTCAATGGCCGACTTCAGGGTTGATTTCCGCCTCTCTTTCTTTTCACTCGAAGCTACGCTCAAGAAAGAGCTTCGCTGGCCGGGGGTTCGCAATGCGATCCCATCGGGGCCGTGAGCCAGTCTCCCCTCGCTCGAACTATAAGAGGTTGGGCGCGTTGAAAGCGAGGCGATCGAGCGAGTACTGCCGCACTTGGCATGGTCGGACAGGTTAAACTCGGAAAACGACGATGCGATCTGATCCAGGGGAGGTATCTCGTTAGATGGGGTGACTTCACAGACGGAATTGCGATCGGTTGAAGAGCCTGCCGAGGACAGAATCGGAGAGGAAAGATCGACCATGCCCGAAGCAATCGACGCGGCCAGCGATGCCACAATCTCAACTTCTGGAACTTTTAAACCCAACTGGCGCGCTTCTTCTACTAGTGTTTGTTCTTGCGATCTCTCCTCATCCTCGGAGGCGATAAGGAGAACTTCGTTGCGGTATCTGTTCTCGTCGAACCCGACGGATTTGCTGGACTGCATCATGCGATTGGGGGGATTTGATCCGCAGAAAACATACGGTGCAGATGAGTCAAAGACCGGGTATCTTAACTAACAAACAAGACAAGACAACAATGGATGTTTCACAGACGTGTGTTACAAAGAAGCCAACAGGCTCGTCCACAGCACTCGACGCACAGTGGACGAGATCGAGGCGCTCCAGGGCGGCATCCGACTAGCGGAGGGTGAACTAGGAGGGAACAAGTTGGATACGAAGGGCCGGGGGGGAAAGAAAGGGAAAGGGAAGGAGGGTGAGTGGAGAGAAAGGAACTAAGACGATTGACTGATTTAATTAATACAATTAATTAATTCCCATTTTTTTTTTTTTATTTTAAAGGAGACAGCAGGTTAGGTAGGTGATATCTCTCTTTCTCTTGTTGCGGTCCCACGAGTGACCCGCCTGACCGAATCATTAACTAATCTGACGACACGGATGATGAGGATGGTTGAGGTCGGGGAATTTTCTTTTTAGGGTCTAGCTATTCATTTTTATTTTTTATTTTATTTTTATTTGTACTTTTCCCTTTCTTTTTTGTTCCATTCAGGCACCATCCATTTCCCATTGTTCGCAAGTTCTGGTAACGTAGGTCAGAGGCTTTCTCCACCCCAGGGAATCCGTGACCGCGGGTGAAACGCAACTGCCCCTCCAGGGGTACTACTGCTTCGGGAAAATTAGGGCATAGGGCATATACCGGTCCGTTCCGCCCCCAAGAGACAACCATCCATGGCGTGGTTTCAGCCACTGCATCACCATTGCCCCCGAGTCAGGCACCGCTGCTTCATGTTTCAACGGTTAATGAGGATTTTCGCTACTGGCCCACTGTTCTTCTCCAGTTGCAGGATCGTCACCGTCCCATCATCCTGGGGACGTATTCTTTACCTCGTGATTCGATGATGCGGTGGCCTAGTTGACACCTCACCGTCAATCGTATGAATTTTAATGGAGTACTAGCTGGCGCCATTGTGGGTGGGCCAAAATGATATGCAGTTAGACCATACGGCATAAGTCATTGATTCACCGCCAGTTACCCGAGCCTAAACAAAAGCCAAGCATCGATGAAATTTCTTTATGAGGGATATACACTGGCAATCTGATGTCTCAACTCTCATCAGCGGGACAACATCTCGATAGCCATGGTGTAGGCCTTGTCTTTCGCATGTGCTGAAATACTCCCCTCAGGGGCATTTTTGTCAAAGGCATGATTGCAGCCCTGCATCTGGTGAACAAGAATCTCCCGTTCCGGTTCCTTTGCAATTTTGGCCGCAAGCGCCTCAGCTTCACCTGCGAGGTTATCACAAGCTGCCGTCACCAATAGGATGCGGTCGGGAAAGCGGTCAGGTTGGGCATAGAAAGGAGAAATTCGAGGGTCTCTGGCATCGTAGGACGCAGGAATGTAGCAACGATCAAAAATCCGGGCTAGCGCTGCAGGCAGCGGCTTTCCTGCAGGATCCGGTGCAGTCTTTAGGCTTGGTTCCATGTACAAATCAACCGGGGGATAGAACGCGAGTAATGATCGAAAGGTTCCTCGAGGGAAAACACTTGAGGAGAGTGCCAAAGCCAGATTCCCCCCGGCGCTGAACCCCGAGATCGCCAGCCGGGATGTATTGAATTCCTCAGGACGCTGGAGAACCCAGTTCACCGCATCCTCGGCGTCGTGGAGGGCCGCGGGGAAGGGATGCTCTGGTGCTAAACGGTACTGTATATCTAGCACCGTGTACCCCGTCTCTCGGCTGACTTGCCGGCAGAACTCATCGTCGGTCCCATGCATAGGAATGATGAATCCACTGCCATGGAAATTAATGAGAATAGGGCCTGGGTTCGCCGCCAATGCCGATCGGTAGACATGTGCTTTGATTGTTCGCGCTGCCTCCCGCGACTGAATGTAGACGACGTCATCGGGGCTACAAGGAGGATGCTTGCCGAGACTAGCGAGAGTCCTGATTAACACGGCAAGGACTTTGTAATACAGATAGGTCAGAAAGAACATAGTGGAGTCTGGCGTGAAGCTCCTGATGTGTTTCACGTGATATTTTCAAGGCTGATACAGCCTCTTTCTTCGTAAGTAATCGTGCGTTGGATTTCAGAAAATCTCACCGATTCAGAGCGTCTCAACTCCTGAACTTATAGAATAGCTGAGCGCTTCGTGCAAGGCTTATCAGCCACCCGAGCTCCAAATGGCTTTGGACGGTCGAATGGCTCTTGGAGAGAGACCAGCAATCCACTAGTTTAGGATTGGTGGGAAAAGTGCACGGTGTCCTGAATCCAAATTGCGAACCAAAGATTCGTACACGGGGCTGTGTAAACACAAAATGATGACGCCTTGGCCCGTCTAGAAAATGTTCTTCTGCATTTTGAAGTGCTCCGGATATCCCTTGGTCGTGGTTAGGTGCCGTGCAAAAGAAAATTATACCGATAGGGCTTGGTCAGATCACATTGCTGGTCAACGGTATCATAACTAATTACTCTTTTCGGAAGACTCACGTGGACAGGTGTGACAATTGTGGCAATACTCACAGACACCGCAAATAACGCCTGTCCCCGCTGTCTGGTCAAGATGCACGACGGGTTATTATTATTGCGACGCACATGCTTTGGCGTCTGACTACACTTCCCGACATCCATTCAACTACAAACAATCACCCAGATGATCCAACCGCCACTATCTACTTGCCGGCATCGACTTATCTCCGTGCGTATCTGGATTGTAACTGCAGAGAGAGGGGCTACAGTATGATGAGCATAATACAGTCAAAAACTGCGTCTAACTGATCGTCCAAAAGCTCCACCGCCAACACTAGCGTATCTCCGCCGGAACAACAACCGCAGGATGACGTCCCTTAATCAGTCCGGGGATACCAACTTTACAGTTTTCATACGCCTCCCTTTTCCTCGGGGCGACTTTGTGGATCCTCCACCTGCAAGTGTTTTCTCGGCTAACCTGCATGAACTATTTACTGACTGCGCTAGGCTGAGTGGAACGCAGCAAAAGACCAAGCTCTCTGGGACCTACTATCGCGGCCCTCGAAGGGTGATGATATAGACTGTATGTATATCTGCACAAGACATTTGTGTCTCCATTATACTAACTGATCACAGGGAAAGCATTGTATGCTCACATCCTCGAGTGAAACGCTCGTGTCTGCTGACTTTTATTTGCAGAGCGGAACGATTCGATGTAACTCTGCAGTTTCTCCTTCAGCAGGCAGCATGGTTGTATGATCGTCAACTATCCCAGGTCCGCGCGCAGATGCGCAAGGTGGGCACCACTCAGTCGAGCTCCCCGTCCCCTGCGCCTGGTTCTGTATCCGGAAGCACAGCGCTCGGCGGCCAACCAGCCAAGGGTGGCCTTGGTGCAGGTAAGCCAGTCTTACAGGGCTGTGTGTGTCATCAGCTCATAGATATTAGCCCCACGAGTTCCGAGTCGTCTATCCTCACAACAAAAAGATACTCTTCCCCAACGAGGTAAGTCTATTCCCAAGAGATCGTCACTATGTGGGCCCAGAAACCATGGAAGCGAACACTTGTCTAACATTCTGCAGGTCCCCCGCCACGTCGCACAAGCTCGGCAAATACAGTAAACCAAATCAAGACTTCAAAGGAATCGCCTTGCACGGAAACCCCTGCGGAGTTCAAAGATCCACGCTGGGAGAGCGTCAACCGGCGTTCATCAGCAAGCAAGCGGAACCAGGCTCCAGTTGTACCGGCACCAGTACACAAATCGCCCACCCTTCAGGAAGAGCATCTAAGTTCAAGCTCGTCCTCATCCTCGTCAGACGAAGACGACGGGCTAGCCAGTAGACGAGGACTACGATTTCGACGATTCGGCAAATTTTCCACACATCGACCTGGTCTTCGCGACGATGACGAAGAAGAAGACGAGGATGATCCACCCGCGTTTCTTCCACTTTCCCGAGCCCAACCTGAAGCTGCACGGGACCCGTCAGCACAGGATCTCAATGAAACTCTCCGGTTGCAAGGTGAAGATCAAACGGGAGCACGACGCCGCACGTCAGAGCAGAGTCCGGTTTCGAGAGAATCCATTACGACCGAATCATCGACGAGCTCAGTTAGCTCAGGGGCTCCAGTGGCAATCCAACGTCGAGTGAATAGTATTCCATCACCGTTGAGTCCTCGACGGACGGCAGAGCTGGCTCGTGCCAGTCCTCGGAGAATGAATAATTCCGGAAGGGACACGAGTGATGGTACACCGAGTATGGAAAGTAGCTTCAGTGAACTTGATGGTGAGTCTCTAGTTTCTCTGTTTCATTCTTAATCCCTCTGTTACTGATATTGCCATCGGTAGACGCAAGTGTTACGGAATCGGCACTTGAGGAGGCTCTCCTGAGTAATATGCAGCATGGTGGTATGGCAAGTCGCATGAGTACGATCAGTCAGGCAATACGGAGTCGTTGTTTGTGAAGGTTGGTTGTGTAAGTCAATGTAAAGCTGTGATATTCGAGAACCTGCCTGGAGTGGGCACACGTCGAAAGGCGCCTTATCAGCAACACCTTCCGACTACCAATCAAGAGTCAATTATCACGTAAACCTGAATACCACTGCGGTGCAAGGTATTTTCCATCTATTAAAGGATGAGACGCATGTGGCTGCTGTACCAAACAACTTGCTGTCCTCAGTGCGGAAAGCGGACGATAACTTGTCTCGCATAACAAATGTACGTATAGAGTTGATCACTTGTACAAGAGCACGCAGATCATACTTTGTACCATATCATTGGAGTCCATCAGCTACTTTATATCAATATCTTGAGCATGGGCGACCATTGCAGGCTGCGTATGATCAAGAGTATCGAAATATGGCTCCGAGGCGCAAAACTCGCATGTATTAGGTATTTTCTTACTATGGGCAGCCTTAGAGCTTTCGCAGCTGCGCAGCATTCAATCAGACCCCCTCAAGCATGGTTGAACATCCAACCACAATGGGCTTATTAAAATAAGCCTTTAGTGTTCAGACTTGTCAATCTTAAAGCAACGGTGCTATGAACGCTTGGCTGCCATACCTCCTTATACCAGCCCGCAATCCTATGCAATGGAAAGCCTATTGTCAATTTCAGAATCTTTATGGAGATCTTTATTTTGCCTAGCAGCCAATGCTACCGAGACTTTTCTATAGCAACTTGAATATAGTATCTCGAGGATAAGTTCCACTCGCATGGAGAATTGGGCTAGGGGCAAGTGTTGAAGTATGTAATGTGCAATTTACTCATTAACGTAGCCGGCAAGCAGTCCAGTCATGTAGGCAGTCCGGTCACCTCTGTATTCCATACAAGATAGCATATATTTGAATGTCGATATCTCAGTAAAACCATAATATATCTATTTCTAATTTTATATATAGTCTAATATATACTATAATAATAAATTATTAAATTAATAGATTCTAATAATCTTTTATTACCAGAGTAATATAAATTACAGTGTATTATATAGTACTATTTGTATATAGCTATAATTTATAGTTTTAGAATTTTATTTATACTGATATATATAAAAGTTATCTATACTAATATTGTGACAAATTAATATATATATATAGAATATAAAGTTGTTGAGATATCGATGTTTAAAAATATGCTAGTTTGTATGGAATACAGAGGTGACCGGACTGCCTACATGACCGGACTGCTTGCCGGCTACGTTATATATTTTGCATTGGTTATGGCGCCGTTCAATTTGAAGATAGTATTATCTTCGACGGCACGCATAGTACCAACATCATTCACTGCACACCAATTTTGGATGGTTTAGTCGTATTCTAGACTCATTAGCTCACGGAGATCTGCGATCCTGCCTTGACCCTCAACAATTTCTTTGTTTAGGGCTCAACGTTGTTGATGTTCAACCATTTCCTGCAACCTGAGGCATGCTAAGATTAGATAAGGTTAAATCCCGCCCACGTGATCGCCCGCTGGCCCGGAGCGATATGATTGGAGGATCAGCTGTCATCTGCGTCATTTGTTGCAGGCGGTGAGCGAAAGTTCCCCTCCCAATTGCCCCTCGGCATCTTTTTTGGTGGGCGTGATGGAGACAACGTTGTAGAAATCAGCATCACATCAAGCCATACTTTCACTATATATTCCCCTGGTGAAAACCCCGTGGCTTTTGGTACGATCCGAAAGAACATTGCCGTAGTGGTGGGATTGAGCCCTTTTGGTATCACGTCAGACCGAGGCACCTACAGTTTCCGGAGGACTAATTCCAGAGTACCAAGTAGCATTCCAGATAAGGCCCAGCTTCCTCTGTTCGTGACTCAATTGTTTCTTTTTGTTTGTTTGTTTATGTGCATAATATCCCTCACAGCCGAGAATTTTACATGCCACCTCTTTCAATTCACCTGAAAATCCCTATTGTTTGAAAAATGACACCGTTCTGACACCGCCGTTAGCAACGTCATACCCGAAAAATAAGGCCCGGTAGCCGCGGTCTTGATTACCTTGCAACATGGCCTCTGCTCCCACACATGAAATGACTCCTGCCGAAGCAGAGTCAGTCTACTTCAACAATTATCCTCCGCCAAAAGCTCTCCCAAAACACGAGGCCCTCGCTCGAGCTTTCATCAATTACCATGTCGAGGACAACAGGCGTCTCGTTCTCGTAACGTCGGGAGGCACAACGGTCCCTCTGGAGAACCAGACCGTTCGCTTGTAAGCAGCCTACTTGACCCGGGGAGAGTGTCTCTCTGATGACCTTTTGTCTTTCCCAGCATCGACAACTTCTCCGCCGGAACAAGAGGTGCCACGAGTGCCGAGTACTTCCTCGAAGCGGGATACGCCGTGATTTTCCTGCATCGTCAATTCAGTTTACTGCCCTATTCTCGTCATTACAGCCACTCGACCAATTGCTTCCTAGACTTCATGGACGAAGCGCCCCCCGCCAGTAACGCGGAATCTGATCACGGGCGTATCGTGGTCCACAGCGAATACCAGGACCAGATGCGAGATGTGTTGAGGAAATATCGGTATGCGAAGAAACATAACCGCTTGCTCCTGCTCCCGTTCACCACCGTATCTGAATATCTGTTTGAATTGCGATCGTTGGCCACATTGATGAAACCCCTGGGGCCCAATGCCCTCTTCTACCTCGCCGCGGCGGTTAGCGACTTCTTCATCCCGAGCGATCGGATGTCAGAGCATAAGATCCAGTCCTCTGAGTTGCCTAAGAACTTGAACAACGAGGAAGCCATTGACCCGTCAGACATTTACACGGGCGGAATCCCCCAGGAGACCCAGCCACCCACCCACAGCAAAAAGCTGATCATCGACTTGGACCCTGTGCCGAAATTCTTGCATCAGCTGGTGGACGGGTGGGCACCCGACGGAAGTATGGTAGTCTCATTCAAGCTCGAGACTGATCCCAATTTGCTTGTGTACAAAGCACGGACGGCACTCCAACGGTATGCGCATCATCTGGTGATAGGCAACCTGCTGTCGACACGGAAGTGGGAGGTGGTGTTTGTCACCCCTGAAGCCCCTTATGAGCGCTGGATTCGGGTACCAAAGTCTAAGCGCAGCAAGAGTATTTCTGGAGCAGAAGAGCAGGTGGGACTGGCCGAGGCAAAGACAGCGGGGGGCGCAGCGGCCCCAAAGAACGGGGAAACCGGTGGGGACTATGCACAGGGGCAAGACAGCAGCCACGAGGGCATGGAGATTGAAGCGCTGATCATCCCTGAGCTAGTCAAGCTGCACTCGAACATGATCGCGAAACATGGTACCCAGGCTTAGTTGATATAGCCATGTATGTACCATGTGCCTCCTGTACAGTATGCACTGTACCTGCATGGGGAGGTTTAATCTATTAGACTGATATCTTGCATTATTTTTCGTTCATAATTTATGTCCATTATTTAAAGTAGGAACCAAGTTAAATTAATTTTGTCGATATGACGCCCTTCAGATTGAGATTGGCAGCATTCAACGGCGATCCGTGACGATGATTACCAGGTTGGGAGGGTAAAGATACCAGCCATACCGTTTCGTTACCGCGCCCGTGACTCTCTTTCTTTCTCCACCAAGTACTCTAGAGGTATCGGTCTCTTCCTTGAGAACCCATGTTGGATATCACAACTAATTGCGACTCCCGAAAGCTCCGAGACAGGGGAGACTCAATCGAGTGGTTGGTTACAGCTTAATGGAGCTGTTTCAGTTTGACTGTCAGCAGGGGTGTCTCATTCTTGAGCTGCGCCCATACGCGTCATTGAGATCCTAGTGGGTCGATCATCCCTCCGCTGCTCTTGACTCTGCCGCTTAACGAACGACCTGCCGTACCTGCTTGTCTCTTGTCGATCTTCGGGACTTGGGGTCCTGCTTGCCCTTGTCCGTTTGAAATTTTTTTCTTCTTGTTCGTTTGTTTTCTTCTCCTTTTCTGTCTATACTGTTGTGGCTTTTACATTGCTCATCGGTCCTTGAATCCCTCGTCGCAATTGATCATCCGAGGCAAAGGGAACAACGAAAAATGGTAGATTGTTCTCCATCGTATTGGAGGAACGGTATAATCTTGCCCTTTTAGTGTCAATTCCCCAGGTACTCTGTGTGGAGGCTGTCCCCAGCTTCCGACGAGCGTTCCTCGCTCGCTAGCTAAGATGTTTCCTCGTCGATTCCGTCGCATCGCCGCCATCACCTCCGTCCTCTGTCTCTTCCTCCTCTACCACTTCACCGGCCTTCGATCGAGCTTCCACCCTGCCGCTACCCATGAACGCCGCCGGGTCGAATGCCCGCCCCTCCCGGGCATGGAAGACGTGCTGGTTGTGTTGAAAACAGGTGTCACCGAGGCATTGGACAAGGTCCCGGTGCACTTCCAGACCACCCTGCGCTGCGTCCCGAATTACGTGATCTTTTCCGACTTCGAGGAGGAAATTAATGGGATCAAAGTGCACGATGCCTTCCGGAATATGGATCCCGACGTGAAAGGGACCGTCCCCGACTTTAGCATCTACAACCGCCTCGTACAGATGGGTCGAGCGGGCCTGGAAACTCATGATTTCGCCGACGAGGCTAACTCGGCCATCGGCAAGCCAAACAACCCGGGTTGGAAACTAGATAAGTGGAAGTTTCTGCCGATGGTCCAGGAAACGCTCCGTTACAAGGGCGACGCAAAATGGTACGTCTTTATGGAAGCGGACACGTATTACTCATGGGGTACGTTGCTCGAATGGCTCTCGCACTTTGATGCATCCAAGCCGTGGTACATCGGCACTGAGACCCAGATTGCCGATGTCATATTCGCCCACGGCGGCTCGGGCTTCGCCATCTCGAATCCGGCCATGCAGCGAGTCGCAAAGGAGTACACAGAGCGCAACGTCGAGCTGAACGAGTACACGGACGCTCATTGGGCTGGAGACTGCGTCTTGGGCAAAGTGTTGGCCGACGTCGGCGTGCCATTGCACTTTTCCTGGCCGATCCTGCAGAACACCAACATCGGCGAACTAGATGAGTTCACGACCGCCTTCTACCGTCGACCCTGGTGTTTCCCCGCCGTCGCATTCCACCATCTGAGTGCACGCGACGTCCAAGATCTGTTCAATTTCGAACAACGCCGATGGCACGAGGTAAGTTTCCTCTCACCCTCCATCTTGACCACCACCTAACCTATCCCTAAAACAGAAACAAGCCACACGTCTCCTGCACGGCGACGTCTTCAAAGAACTCATCTACCCAAATCTCTCTTCATACCGTGACAACTGGGACAATCTCTCCGACGAAGAGCACTCGGAAATCACCACCTTTGACGAATGCCAGTCCTTTTGCAAGGATAACCCCGACTGCGCACAGTTCTCCTTCCGCTCCAAATCCTGTTTCACCGGCAGGACACCCAAACTGGGCACGGCTACCTCGGGGGCCCGGTCCGGATGGGCTATGAAGAAGATCGAGGAGATGATGCGTGAGGCACCGGTTTGTACGAGTGTGGAGTGGGGTGCTGCCTGATTGTTCTCTACTTTTTCTTTTCTATACATGTTTCTGTTTCCTGGCGCGCATTGGCGGTGATGCATTGGCAGTTCGCAGGTCGAACGTGGTGGACTGGAGTTATGCTCTCTTACAGCTCGATGTTGATTGACAGAATGGGACCCGGCTGGTTTATGCTGATCTCCTGGCTGGATGTATACTATAGACTACCATTCTCGCTGTGCTCATTTTCTTCTGATATGTTTCTATGGGCGGTGTTGGGTCTCGTCTTGCATGGTAGGAGTTGTCGATGGTTTCATTCAATACATCAATTCTAGCGAATCTCACCTACAACAATAAGAGCAACCATTCCAACAATAATCCATGACCCTATAACTTTACAAACCCATTAAACTCAACTGACCCACCAAAGAACACCCAGTTGAACAGCTTTACAGAAGCACAGAAAACCAACCCAATCATCCTATAAAAGCTCAGGAGCTTTGGGATCCTCCAGGCACTGATCAATACGCATAATTTTCAACCCCTTGCCTTGAACATAGTGGATAATGTCCCGAAAATACCCCACGGTCGAATTACTCAGATAATGCAGCACAGCCAGATTCCCGCCGCGGTCGACATCGCGGTAGAACGCCTTCAGCTGGCGCTCGGGTGTGTCGGAGTCTGCCCACCTCCAGTCTTCGATGTCGACGCTCCAGTTGATGATTTGGGGGTTTTTGATGCGCTTGGCGAGGATTTGGCGCGTGCGGGGCCCGATAGTACCGTATGGGGGACGGAAGTAGCTGGCTATTTGCTTATTAGTTTGTTGATTCTAGGGGAGTATGGTAGGTTAGGCAGCATGGGGGTCGATGGTGATTTGAGTGTAGTTCTTCCAGATTATGGATGGATGGGTATAAGTGCATGTATACTTACACTCTACCCCAAGCAAATCCTTAAATGTAGCGATATTGCGGAAAATATCGTCATCTATAGCCTTCGTCGACTCCATTCCTTCCATCCTACATTTGTCACTCATTAGCATTATCATATCATCATGCTCACCCACTCCCTACCCACCCCCAACACCTCAAACAACTATGAAGTTAAATCGAGAGCGGAGAACTCACTTGGAATGTGCATCTGAATGTAACGCAATCTGATGTCCACCCTCCACCATCTTTCTGTAAAAATCCGCAAACCCCGTCCTATTATCCCTAAGTGGTCCCCCCACAACAAAAAAGGTAACTAGCACGCCCTCACTTTCCAAGATCTCCCTCACCTCGTCCGCAAGACTGGGTATGCCATCATCAATCCCGAAAGCAAACGAACCAGGTCTCGTGCACCGGAGTCTCAGCTGCCCCGTCGGCTGTTTTTTCTTTGGAATTTTAACACCGCGTGGTAGGGCCGGGATTAGCTCGACCTTGTACACTTTTATTGGGCGCGTGTACGGTGGATAGAAACCTCCAAGGGAGATGGAGAGGACGCGGGATTGGTCGATAGTGAAGTGGGAGAGGGGGACGTAGAGGTCTTGTGGCTTTTGCTTCTTTGGTTTACGGTGGTGCCAGTGGGGTTTGGCAGTGTAGCGGGACGCCTCGATGCTGTCACTGGTTTCGGGGTAAGGGTTTAACGATGGGTTGCAGGAGGGATTGTTTTGGTGGAGGGAGACGCTGAAGGTTGGTGGGCCTGAGTAGACGATGTGCAGGATCCAGGTTTTGTAGGGGGTTAGGTCGAAACATGTTGTTGAGGAGAGCTGGCTGTGGTATGTTTGGTCGGCGTTTGAGGCGTTCAGCTCGATGTAGTCTCGTCCCTGGGTGACGGTGAGGTCTTCGAGGGCACCGTGCCAGGATCCAAGGTGGTTTTTGTCGGGGTGGGTGAAGGTGTCGACGATTATGGGGGTGTTGTTAGTCGTGGGTGGAAGAAAGGTCACTTGGAGGGGTGTTCGGGTGGTTTCTGTGGCTGTGGTAAGGGTGGACCAGAAGAGAGCGAGGATGGTGTAGAGATAGAGAGTATGCATGGTTGCTGTTATGAAGCGGATGGACAGTGTATGATATACAGTGAATGAATGGACTGTGATGGCTTCACACTTGTATCTATATGGTGGTGGATGGTGGATCTGTGTCACGACTGTCAGCTTGCTCAACTTTGCAGACAAATGATGGTGACATGGATACTCACCTTACACGGAAGGAGCGATTGATAGACGGACACGCCTTAATGGGGTTACGACTGCTCTCACTGGAGTCGAAGATTAATACATATTAATTTCTAGCTCTAGCCATACAGGAAAACAAAGCCACCTTCCCTCCACTACCCGAATCCTCCCAACCGGTCCAGTAGTTGGTTAAGAAGCCCTAAAATCGTACCCTCTAAATTCTAAAGTAAGAGGAGACAACTTCGTGTGACCACTTACCAGGCTTCCAGGGAATTATCGAGGCTAAGAAGGTCGGCCCGCTGTTGTCTCCCGCGTATGGAGCTGAACCTGTAGAACATTGGAAGCCGCAGTAACCTGCACTGCATAAAGCATTTGATGGCGTGAAACCGCAGAAGTTACCCCAGTCGACTCATCACCAGTATTCCCCAGTACACCCCAGCCACCCAACAGCCTTGGAGGCACTCAGCCAAACCAGTGGTGAAGATAGGCAACCGTCGACTGCCGGAGAGTCTGAAAAGGTTGACTAGAAGTCGTAGTTGACGGCAGCGGCCGGGGCATCTTCGGTGTCACCCATGGGAATTCCACCCCAGGTGCTACTCTCAGCGCCCTCGTTCGCATTTTCGCCACCGCCTTCTTCGTCTTCATCGTCGGTATCATCCTCAAAGAGATTCTCACCATCGCCAGGCTTGTAGGACTCCAGGAAGTCAGGTATTTTCTGTTTGGTTTCAAGAAGAAGCCGAACAAGATCAGGGGCGAGGTCCGAGTCGCGGTCATGATTGTAAAAAGAAGTAGCGAGTCCTTCGTTCCCAATACGGGCAGTACGTCCTGTCCATGGTTAGCATTCTGATGATATGAGCCACTCGTTGCAGTACTTACCAATGCGATGGACATACTCAACGATGCCGCCGTGGGCCTGGCGAGGAAGGTCATAGTTGACAACATGCATGACGTTCTTGATGTCAAGACCACGAGCCGAAACCCCTGTCGCGACAAGGATGGGGCATTTGGCAGTACGGAAAGCACGTCTATTTCTCCTTTCAATGACTGGCTACTCTGTTTAAGGTGCAAGAGTACTTACAAGGCATCCTCGCGCTCGCGTTGAGTACGATCTGAATGTATGGAGGTGCTGGGCAAACCCATGTTGTACAAGTAGTCGTCCAAGTGATCTGCCTGTGCTTTGGAGTTGACAAAGATCAGGGTACGAGAAGGGGGCATCGCCAGAAGCAGATCATAGAGGCACTGCTTCTTGAGATGCTCTTCGGAGTAGACAATCTGAATGGTTTGTCAATCAGGTATACGGGATACAATCTTAGTTTCTGGGTGAATAGCTTACAGTCTGGTCCACATTGATGTGAGTGCTGCCAGGACGTCCGATACGAACACGAACATGGTCATCAGCGAGAAACTTGCGGGCCAACTGACGGCATTCCTTGTTGAATGTCGCGGAAAACATCATGTAACGGTGGTCCGCATCCTCGTTTACATCTTTTTTCATCAGCATCACAGTTAGATCAACCCGTACTTTCGCACTTACCTCCACCCGACATGATCTTGTTGAAGTCAGACTCCCAGTCCGCAAGAAGAAGTTCATCTGCTTCGTCTATGATGGTGTACCTGGTTATGCATCAGTCACATTCTAAAAACGCCAGAGAAAGAACGTACTTGACACGGCGGAGAGACATAATATGAGGCTTGTCCATGAAATCCAAAAGCCTTCCAGGTGTGCCAATGAGAATGTCGCAACCTTTCTGCAGCTCGTCTCTCTGGTCACGTACGGGAGCACCACCGTACACAACGCAAGGACGTAACATAGAGCGATAGCATAGTCGGCGTGCTTCATCGAATATCTGCGTCGACAGTTCCCTGGTAGGTGCAACAATCAAGACCAGAGGTTCTGCACGGACGGCATCAATGATGGGGTTAAAGCCGTCTGCCAAGTTTGGACGTGGAGCAGCAAGTTTCTTTGCCTTTCCCATCAATTTCGACAGGACAGGGATCAAGAAGGCTGCGGTCTTTCCGGAACCTAGGTTTGTCAGTGGCTTGTTGAGTCTCTACATATCCCCAACTACTTACCAGTCTGGGCAATGGCGATAAGGTCGTGGCCGGTCATAACAGCAGGGATCGCATACGCCTGGATTGGCGTCGGAATATCGTAGTGACAAAGCTTGACGTTCTCACGCACAATAGGATGCAGTCCGGCATCGTCGAACTGAAACTACTGTAAGACTTTGATGTACTATCAATGTTGAACAGACTCACACTCTTGATTGGATTAGGACGCTCTCGACTTTCAGCAACTACTTCAATGTTTTGGAGACTGTGGAGATCAGCTTTTGGTGCCAGTATCCAGCAAATGCATCTACTTACTTTCCAATCTTAAGACCAGTTCGATTAATGAGTTCACTCCGAAAGAGCATCTCTTCGAGCTCTGGGTTGGCAGGACCAACGTCACCGTACTCATCTTTCCACTCGTATTTAGCTGCGTTGGCCGCCCACTCGGGGATTTCCTGCTGTCGCTGTTCTGGCTCAGTGCCCTCACCAGGGTTGGCGAGAGGCCCAGGAGGGGCTGTATTGTACTTGGAGCAGTCATAGCCCTCCGGCTCGACCCATCCTTTTTCGCGAGCAGTACTAGCAGCTTCAGCCTTTTTGGCATTTTGTGTGTGCGTAACATCCTCAAGGACAGTGCCCATGTTGGACACGTCAAATGTATCCATGATGTTTGCGTGGACACGAAATACGCGTGAAGAGAATGTGCGGTTGGCCGTTATAGTTCAGATCCAGGATGCTGAGCCCTGCGGAAATAGAAGGAGACAGACTTAGAGGGGTTCACTCATGGACGGAAGGCAAGAGGGGGACGACTTTTGATCGAAGCAAAGATCGGTTTGAAGAGTGTGGGTAAAAGGATGAAAGGAAAGATGGAAGAAAGTTGCTGGAGGAATAGGAAGAGGAAAAGGAAGAGAGTGCGGGGTTGCAAAGACAACAAACAGAAGAGTGAATATAATAAAATGTTTCTCGGGCGATACACACCGAGCATGAGCTGTTTGGTTGGGACTACTACTATGTACTTTCTTGTACTCACCAATAGGAGGGTCTCAGAGGAGCAGTGAATGTCAGGATGCAGCTGACTTCGGTTGGACGGTGCGGCAAGAAACAGAATCAGAGTGAGTAAATGGGGTCTGGCTTATAGAAAGGACTTCAGGTGATACTGGAGTTGTCCCAATTGGAAGGTCACCGGTCAAGTCACTGGGTTTGGAGAACCCTCCGAGAAACATCAGAGTGTCCTTCCATTCCGCAGGGGAGAAAGTCCCCATGATGTCTGTGCTTCTGTACATATTTAGAGAATAAGAGAAGTAACACCAAGGGATATGGCACCTCAAACACTGGAAAATTGGCTAAATAGCTGTCTTCTACTATTGGTAGGTTAAATATACATAGACCAACAGGCTTGTGTTGTTGTTTGAAGCTAGTGTATGTATATGGTATGAATAAGTGTAACCATGGTATGTGATGTGTTTCTCTGCCTTTTCGATCTATTCTTAGAGTGCAATGTTGTGTTACCACTGGAACCCTCTAGAATGATTTATGCTTTCTTCTTCGTTAGACATCTCCATAGATCCAGCCTTTACTTCAGGATGTAACCTTGATGCCGTCTTACAGGTAGAATATGAGCTACTTCCACTAACCCTTAATCTTGACCATGACAAAATAACAGCCCAAGTCTAAAGTCAGCTGGAGGTAATTAAGGACAGAAGACGTAGGTTATATACCCAGCATCCATCATCCATCAGACACTTGGTCATCTGTCTACGTTAGGCGCATACATAGACACAGAACATATAATCTACACAGGTTAGAAGATGACGACATGGCGATTCAATTTCGATCTTGAACAGAATACCAGCATAAGCTAGTCACTGAAAGGTGTGGCTGTAGACTATTAGTACCGAGTTCTTGTGGGTGTTGGTCACAGTTGTAGTACACAAATATCGTGATATATATCCTATAACGAGATTAATATACTAGTAATGATATTATAATTATCTCAATTTTTGAAACTATTTCTAAAGTCTCACGTAGCGACTTTTATTATCTTCTCTAAGTTTAAAGAATATATATCTCGCTTTTTAAAGAAATTACGAATTATATATTAATACTACTATAAATTATTGAATTTCCAGCTCTAAAATTACCTAGTATAATTTTAAATTAGGAATGTAAATTGAGACTAGTTTTACATAATTATATTCAGTAGAGATAGTTACAGTCTTTGGGTATATTATAAGAATACCTACATTACCGGGTAGAAAACCTCAATCGATTTACTATGGGCGGGTAGCCCTACTATAAGAACACTAACCTTGGAGTTCACAACCCTTCTCGGTTAGAAGCAGGTGGAAGCATGGCGTAAGGGCGGTCCTCACTTGCAAATAGGCCATATGAACCAATGATCGAAACACAGCTGGCCTCAAGAGGTCTCTATTACCATATACACTGTGTATATGAGGGACCGAAGCACAACAAAAATCCATGGGTACATTCCAACTTATTTGACTAATGTTGCTATATTCCTTTCGTTGACAAATTATTCTCATCCACAGTGCCGAGAAAGGATGTCTGATTCAGGTACCAAGTGAATCCTTCCGGGTCAATATCGGGCTTATTCTCAACCTCCGCCCAACCATTTCCGAACCATCCAAACTCATTGCCATCATATGGTAGGGTCTCAAAGTCCTCCCACCGGACATAACCTAGTGCCTTGATTGCATGAATACTGCTACCAGGCCAAAGAGCGGTAATCCGACCTCTCTTACGTTGCTGTAGCGTTGCTCCTGGCGGAGCTGATTTATACCAGCTGTTGCATTCAGAACTATAGACTGTTCGCTCGAAGTATTCCTCTGCATAGTTGCTAAAGTTCAAGACCTGACTTCTCTTTGGCTCGACAAGACCGATATTATCGTAGGCCATTCGAAATAATATCTGCCCAACGTATATGTGTATCTGCTCTATCATGATTAGTAGGTTACCCGCTCCCTGAAAGGAATTAGGTCCTAACGACTGGAAGAAATTGGGAAATCCGTCCGTGCAAAGACCCAGGTATGTCTCAGGTCGGTTCGCATACCTGTCACGCAGGGGGATGCCATTGCGACCTAAAATCGGGAAGCTGCCTCCTAGAGACTTTTCGAACCCGGTCGCACAGACAATTGCATCCACGGGGCGATGTCTGCCATCCGCGGTTATGATACCCGCCTCATCAACACAGGTGATTCGGTCAGGAATTACATTAACCTTTGGCGATACTAATGCTTCCAGGTAGCCAGGGGCGGGGGTCAGACGGTTACAGAGGGGAGGAAAGTCAGGTAACAGGAGGCCCAGCACTTCTGGTTTCTCTTTCAGTCTGCGTTGCATCTCGGCTTGGAATTGCGCCACTGCGGACTGTTGGACACTGCTACTCCTCTGCGAAAGGGCGTATTGTTTTTGGATTTCAAGCTCTAGCTCCTTGCGGTACTCCGTATATGCCGCCGGGTCATTCCGCCATACTTGCTTTTCCTCCTCTGTATATTGGAAATTACCCGGATGGCTACCGTGTTGGCTAGAGATCCACATCCCTCCCCGTATGTAGTGGTCCATAGACTTGACCTTGTCGACAAGAGCGGGAACAATTTGGATTGCACTGCTTCCTGCACCGATCACGGCGACATTCTTTTCCTAAAGGTCCCAGGTCATGAGTAGATAACTAAGTATGCTGGAAGATTTTCCATACTTGACCGTCAAAACCTTCCACCCAACTAGCGCTGTGTAGCAATTGTCCCTGGAAAGATTGGAGGCCTGGAATTGAAGGCCACTTCGGCTTGTTGAGCAGGCCGGTTCCAGTCATCAGCACATCGGCTGAGTCCTCAAAAACATCCCCGTTGTCTACTTCAATCCGGACAACCCATCTCCCCGTGATATCATTCCAACATGCTCCAACGCATCGCCGATTGAATCGGATGTGCTTCCGAACATCATATTTCTCTGCCACTCTCTTCCAGTATTCAAGGATCTCCCCGGATCCAGAGAAGAAGTGGCTCCACTCAGTCCACGATTCGAAGCTAAGCTGATATGTGTGGGATGGCACATCTGCTTCCGTGTTCAGTATACTATATCGCCTTGGTTCTTGCCAGTCTTACCACATGCGCAGCCTGGGTATTTATTCTCATACCATGTCCCCCCTAGATCCGGGTTTTTCTCGTATATGACCAAATCCAGGTGAGGAACAGTCTTTCGAAACTGAATGGCAGCAATAATTCCTGATATACCGGCACCGATGTAAATAAGCTTCAGTGGCCGAGCTTGGTCAATAGGACGCTCTGAAATCAAGGATGAACTGGTCCTATTCTGTTGAAGGCCGGGTGTATTAAGAGTGTCCTCTTTGGTACACTTGCTACCGGCAGAGCCATTTCTACCCAGGTTTACAGCGACATCAGATTTGTTTGTGTGAGCTGAGTTGCGCTGAAGACCGGTAAGAGGGTCCAAGAGGTTGTTTGTAGTTTTTCTAATTGAAGACATGATAAATGTGCCAGGTACATTTTATTAGCCCCCGCGATGGGATCACTTTCGAGTGATAGAACCACTATCTATATAGCTACGACATGTCATGGGTTCCTAGGACCGTAGCCCGTTTTAGGCTTAGCAGGGTAGGATCCAGGCCTGATAGCCCCTATCTGTCGCATTTCCTGCAATAATGACGTGCTAGACTAATTACATGTGAAAAGGTTGGAAGTAAACTCCCGTCTTCATCTCTCCAGTGTACTCGGTATCCTGGATAACCATTTCCTTTCCACCTGGGTGATTTGCCGGGATGACATTCTCATTTTGAGTTTTGATCCCGGGTGGCTGACGGGCCTCGAGCGCTGTTTTAGTGGATTGTGAGCCCTTTGCACCAAACCACGCTAACGTAGCCGGTAAGCAACCCGGTAATGTAGGCAACCCGGTAGACCCTGTATTCCATATAAAATGGCATATTTTTAAAGGTCAATATCTCAACAAGATTATATTCTATGTATTTTTAATTTTACTTATAGTCTATTATATACTATAAGAATAAGTTATTAAATTTATAGATTCTAATAATCTTTAATTACCAGAGTAATATAAATTACTATGTATTTTATGGTATTTTATTTATACAGCAGTAATTTATATATCTAGAAGCTTATTTCTATAGATATTCAAGATATATGTAAAGAATATCTATACTAATACCGTGTTAAACTACAATGTATATAGAATATAATCTTGTTGAGATATTGACCTTTAAAAATATGCCATTTTATATGGAATACAGGGTCTACCGGGTTGCCTACATTACCGGGTTGCTTACCAGCTACGTTAAGCAAAGCTGCGTCTATTACATAACTGACGCGGTGACGGTGTCAGCAACAGAATAAGAACTTATTGTACATATAGTGAGTGGATCAAGAGTCTGACTACCCCCAAAACAACCAAACCAAATTGCAACATTTTCAGAATCGATTTTCTTAACCAATTCAGATGGCTTCAGTCTACAAATGAGTCCTATATATCTCTCGTTCAATACTTTGTACACAACCATGTACTCGATATACAACTTGAAGTCTGCGAGGTATACATAGAAGTAAGTAATCTATCACCCTCTGCAATACTGTATAGCTCACTCAGCTTCCTGAATATGCTTTTTAAAGCGCCTACAGTGAACTTTTGGCCCTTCGTCCTAGAAAGAGTATATGATAGAGCTCTAGATGTCTGCACTTAAGCAGAGTCCAGATATACTCCATAGGGTTTACTCAGGCGAATGAGTTGATAAATCTAGAATTCTAGATACCATAATTTTTAAACCAGTCGGGCGCTTCAGGCAAGAAGTGAATATTTCCATTAACTTGTTAAAGCACAGTACCTGGCTCATTAATTGGTAGAATACCCTTTTCTAAGCAAGTAATGTATGATTTTGTTAATAACTGTCTTGACAAGATAATTTATCTTACTCCACAATGACCATTTCAGATCGACCACCTAGCCATACAGAATCCAATACGATTTGAGAAATATCTTTTCCACGGCTCATTAGGTTCATAAGACCACTTATATAGGCCTCTCTTTGGGGAATGATTGGACATATTGGGTAGAGGAATTAGACTTTCTCAGCACTGAACATTCACCAAGAAATGTAGTTTTCATTCCAAGTGGAATTTTTGAACCACATACAGGAAAATTAAAAACTCTTTTTTGCTATCGCAGGCGCGAGAGCTATAAGCTTCTAGACTTTCTATTTTATGAATGTAGCTGTCTTAGAACCGCTTATTGTTGAGATCGAGACCCCAGACTCTCTATTTACACATAGGGGTCTGTAGCTAAACTTAGGCCTTGGCGAGCTAGTAGATAGATAGCGCATTCAGTAAAGTCAAGCTTTATAGGGCTTCTTTTTCTAGGAGGCGATCTCATGGTATGTTTATGTAGAAAGTTGCTCGAGTCTCCACAGAAAGCTCAGGGTTAGGCCTTTTATTCTGTGCCAGAAGCTCTATAGTTACCTAGTCGAGCCTCGATTCACAACATGGTGTAAGATAGTTGAAGAAGGTGGGTTGTTTTTGTTTTTTTTTTTTTTTTTTTTTTTTTTTGGTGCCACGGGAACATACTTTGGAAGGTGTCAGTTATTCAACCAGTCCCGAATTAGAGATAGGATACGATTCATCAACGTCCAAATATGATGAAGGCTAGTGTCTTTTTGGGCTCTTCTTCAAGTTATTGATTATACTGACGATATGTATGATTCTTGACTTGCTTATGTTGATCGTGCATAAATAGCCTCGTTTTTACCCCTCTTCAATCTCATGATCCTGGCCACGTTTGGCCATTTTATCTGACATAATGTATAATGGAATCAGACTTTTGACCCACTTTGGGTAGCATTCCACTGAATTCATGACCGAAACTGAACATTTCGAATGGTAACTTACTCTAAGACATCAGATTAATAGCATGCGACTTTTGGAGTTGAGCTATAGTTTCAAATGTGGGCCCTGAGCAATCTTTCCTTGCGCAAACCCCTCATGTCCCAATGCGTTCTTTCAGTCATAGTCTACCCCGGCGTTTTTGTTAATATGAACTCTGGACTTTATTTGGGTGCTAGGTCTACAAGACGGCCCTATGTTCAAGCCGAGATCCTAGAGTGCTACGGTGCCATGCAGAACCAGTCTATACATCACTTCGCAGTTGACCCAACAGGCCCAAAATCCACCTCACCGAGAATCTGCATGGAATGGAATTGCCAGAAGCATATACCTGCGATATAAGAAAATGCCGAACAATTGTCACTAGGGATTCATCCAAAGCCTCGGGATATACCCATCACATTGCTGGTCGCTTATGAGCTTTTGCGTAGGCCGAAAAACCTATTGTACGGTGTAATACTTCAACATGCTTCTGTGGTTTGCACCAAGACTATTACGCGTTTCCGGCCCCACCCCAATCAGTGGGAGAATGAAACATATTCACTAGGAAACGCCAACCATTACTAGAAGGCGAAGCTTGAAAGGGATTACGTACCCTATTCTGCTACCTTACAATGTTCGGTGACAGGCAAGCTTGCTGAGCGGCGTTAGCCTCTTATGTCAAATCTTCCTTATATTATTATTATCATTAGTTTGGCTCTCTTTCGTTTTGGATTACAGAAGTGTAAATCAATTTCCTGCAACTTTTCCTTACGTCCAATTGGCCTCCACTAGTCTGCCGAACATGGCGCTGATTCCAGTTATTGCTATCTAAGTTGCATCACTGAATGACGGCGGATGTATCCTCCATCATATATTAATGTAGAGTGGACGGACCTCCCCGCAATAGCCGCACAGTGCAGTTAGAGATCAGTTCATCCAAGGTTTAATTATCAGTTGTGAGGCACCAAGCTGGACTCTTTCTGGAAATCGTAGCATGCAATGTGTTTGAATAGAATAAAGACATGTCAATCCGCAGATTACAATTAACATGCTTTTGGCCATAAAGCACGCAAATCAAGATCCTATAAACATTCCACCTAGCCTATAACTTGACAGTTTGAGCGGCTGTTGTATCCCTCCCTTACATAATAAGCATACAGTCCCCGAACATATCAAATTCGTAACATCCCATCTTAGATATCTCATCGTAGCTACGCATAACCAAATCTGTTCCGGCAAAAGCGGCGGTAAGCACAATGTGACTAGACCGCGGTCGATGTAAGTTGGTTAGCAGCACATCGACAGCATTGAATTTGAATCCTGGGTAAATATAGAGATCTGTCCATCCCTCCTGTGGCTTGATAGCAGCTTTGCGCCCCATGTCATGTGTAATCGTCTCAAGCGTCCGCATCACGGTTGTTCCGACCGCAATGACACGACGGCCTTCGGCGCGCGCACGATTCAACTGTGCTGCGGTTCTCTGGCTAACGTCAAAGTACTCAGACCCCACCTTGTGGTTCTCAATCTCCTCTGCGCTAATATGCCGAATGGCCAGTGTCTCAGTCACCCCAACATGCAATGTAATGTAGGCAATCTCGACACCCTTGGCAGAGATGTGAGCCAGGAGTTCACGAGAAAAATGGAGGCCGGCGGAAGGAATATCCAATGAACCTGGTGTTTTTGCATACACAGAGCGGTAGGCTTCTGGGGTTTCTTTCCAATATGCTGGGTTGAGGTGAATTGTCTCGTCTACCCGCGCTCCGTACTGGTCGAGCACTTGAAGCAGCAGCTCAGGAGGGTTAAACTGAGCCTTCCAGAGCCCGTCTGATTGGCGTTCGAGGAGAGAGCAGCTAAGCTGGTCATTATTTAGAGATACCATGGTCCGGCCTGGCTCGAATAATTCAAGTTGCTCGGAAGCCTGGAGTTTGACAATAGTTGTGCTGTCTGGCTCATGGCCATAAACAGTTACCTGAAGGGAGCTTTTGCCGTACTGGAACCACAACGTGTTCGAGAGTATGTAGCTGTCGTTCAGCACGAGAAGGTCTCCTGGGTGGAAGTGATCTGCTATGTTGGAGAACTTCGTATGCTCAATTCTTGAGAGGGAGCGATCTAGGACAACCATTCTTCCGCTGTCACGAGCTCCGCCGCGGAGTTCGACAGGATCGTGTGGCATGACCTTGGGGTCGAGGCTGAATTCGAAGTCGGCTGTTTTCATGATGGCTGCCTTTTGTGGTACTTGATGCTGGAACTAGGGATATTGTAGGCGATAGTTTAGATATTGGTTGAGGCCTGTTTGACAATATAATAATACAAATAGGAATGCGCGTTGTAGATTGCTTTTGTAGATATTCAGTACTCGGTGAGGATTGCAAGCAATAGCGAGATTAAAGCGACGCTCAGATGTTCTTTATATCTCAATCTGGGCTGACAGTAGATGGTTCGAGAAAGCAAGGAATATCAGATTATGCGTACATTACGTCCTGGTTTTCCATGAGCCAGCATGTAACTGTACAAATTGCTGCCTCCCTACTTGGGGATTGCAACCGTTCTGGCTGCATCTCAATAGATGACGTCCCTCTTCATCCGTATAGGCCCATTCTCATATGCTATGTGTGCTATGCGGAGGGGCTCTGTAGCTCAAGACTTGCCAAAGTAAATGTCATAGATCGGACAGAGATAGATTCCTTCGACTGTTAGCAGCGATGATAGACTAGGCGACTACGCAGATCACCTGCGAATGCTACCTTGTTGTACCGCTATCTATGACGGTGAGTGTTACATTTGGATAGAAGAGACAGAACGAGCTGTGTAGTCTTTCATGTCATTGACTGATCTGAGGTTGCGTTCGGTTTTGGACGAGATTTCTGTAAAGCTTATGAACCTTACAAGTCTACCCAATTGCTTGTCCGAAATATGACGTTCTCCATAGCCAAACCTAAGTTAAAATGTTGGAGCGGCATATGCCCAATCCGGTGTAATCGGGTAAAGAGCTTGAGCGAAGGCTACGCCCGAGGCAGGTTTCAAGCGACTAAGATTTTGTGGGAAGCGATAGATGCCTGTCCTATTGGGGTGACCGGAATGCCACAAGGAATGACTAAACTATCTAACTACTAGTAACGTAGTTGATACACGAGCTGCGCACACAATCGAGCTGCGCAGCTCTGTATTCCATACAAATTGACCTTTTTTTAATACTTTATATCTCAACAACCAGCAGCTATAATAGTCTAAAAATTCAATATAGTATAGGGTAGTACTTGATCTTTATATGTAATTAAGAAAAAAAGTCTATATATATAAGAATATCTCTGATATTAGACATTACAGTGGTATTTTTGGTATTTTTTATTTATAGTATAAAAAGAAAAAAATTAAAAAATTAAAAAAATTATTTCTAGATTTATTAAATATATATTATATTATATATTAAATCCTGTATTCTTACTATCTTTGGTTGTTGAGATATAAAGTATTAAATAAAGGTCAATTTGTATGGAATACAGAGCTGCGCAGCTCGTGTATCAACTACGTTAATTAAACTTAACGTGACCAACCACCAAACCGCCACTTCCACTGAGCTACTTTTATAGCACGGCAGAGTCTATCTGTATTTTATTCTCTTATACTAAAATTCAAACCGGCGCCGAGGTCTTCTAATCTTTAATTGTTTCTCTAACCCTATGCCAAGAGAAGCTGAGCTATTTCTAGATAATCTGCGGAACAATTATATTCCTCAGTAGATCATTGTATAGTTATATACACGTAAAGTACCGCCGTTACCTATAATACATGTACACACCTCGTATGAAAGGTTCATCGTGGCTGGAACTTCCAGCCTGGAAGATTTCTATGCAAACCAGTCAAACTAAGTGACGTCCCTAGAAAATATGGGAAAGTCAACAATTAATCAATCCGCTCGAGTCTGCCATATTGTCATTCCTGAACTTGAACTTATTGCCTAAATTACTCAACAAGCCAGAAAATATATAGCATAGAAGATTCAAGACAGAATCGCTCTTTCCCGGCAATATGTGGGATGTATTTGATAAATGTTGGGTACAGTAAAATTTGGATACCTGAAATGGTGCGATGCTATCGGAGACCAGCCTGTGGGTCTGAATCTGATCTTTTTATTACATCCTGATTTATCGATATACTGTACGCTAGCCGAAGTGGAGACTGTGGATCGCGAGGGGTTGAACTCAGTATATACATACATGAGTGTGCTCTTTTATATCTTATGGCTCTACACTATCTCATATACCATAGTCCAGGTCATATCCCATCTACATACCATGTCACACGGTGGTTCCTAGCTGCTAGTGCCTAAGAAACCTGGCTTTCAAGATATACGTAATGAGATTTCCATCGTAGTTACCGTATTTGTACTAGAGTCCAATTTTGGTGGGTTGAAGTACCTTCTTGCTCTGTCCTCTGAATTTTGATACGTTTTTCCGCGTTCGATATATAGGCGCACTAGTCAAGGGTCTATAACATAAACCGTTCTACAACGCTCCAATTACGGCGCGATCTTTGGCATTGGCTAGAGTTATAACTACAGATATAAGACTGATAGTAAATGAAAACCTAAGTCTTTTCACATAGTGATCCGTAGCCTAAATACTAAGTATAGCTAAAGATAAGAATATTCTATTCCCACATGGCGATGAGACAGCCATGGTCTATGACTCCACCAAATTTATTCATCATCCTGCATCTCACCGATAACTAGGCCTTGTAAATCTTTGAGCTTTTGAACTGCGTCCGGGGTTAGGGCCTAAGATATATAGGGAGTCAGCCAGAGTATATAACACACTTCGAAAGGTTGACGATACTAGTAGTACTTACGGAGGGAAGCCCAAAGGTGGATATGATTTAGTATGGACCCAGAATCCATGTCCTGTATCTTTCCGGATTATTCTAGATATGTATATTAGTTATTGTAAGTCTCGCCAAAGGGGTAATACTCAGTCGTCCACCTTCTCACGATGTTGGTGGAAGGATTCTGCGCTATTTTATGAGTAATGGATTTTCTGCATAATTATTAGTAGCCTGGCTATCCCACTTCGAATGGCTAGTTGCTATCCTAGATTTAACGTACCTTGCGGTCAGACATTGTGTATACAATTCAATGGATGAGATATGCTTTACTGTAGAAAGGATTGTAAAGTAGATATTGTGAGGGCGTATGCTATTCTTATCATACTTAACACCCTGGCACCCCTGGTAATGGTGGCCAATGTTACGTAGAATACCCACACACCTCGAGCCAAATATAAAGTGGACCACTATGTCCTCACTAGAAATGCCCGACCCATCTCTGAAAAGTGACGTCCTTCCTCTCGTACTTTAGATCTATCCATCCCAACATCGTTTCGCTGCGACACTCATCCACAGTGGTGGGGCTGACCTACGCTGAAACTGCAACGTAGACAGTTATCACTGGGTAGTACTTTCATAATCACCCTTGTCAATTTGTTATTATGAATATCCTTTCGCTTGTATACTTTATACATATATACATTTGCGGCCTGGTTAAGGTAACCCCGCAATCTACAGCCTTCTTGAATAGTTACTCTTAGATCCCTACTATTCTCGACAAAATTTTGCAATGGATGTCATTTTTGAAGTATTTTATTATTCCGGAGAAGAATAATGAAGTCGTTCTTTGACCACCGTCGTCAATGGGTTGCGGTCTTGGTAGGACGGGAGTCGCTGTTGGGCTACCGTCGGCCAAGACTGCCGTTGATACTAGACTCGAGTCCAAAGGGCCAGGCCTATTGAATACGTATACTCAATAGTAGAAAGAGTATAAACGAGTTGAGACTGGTCTTGCTACTAAAGGTAACTCTATAGTAATAATATAGATTGATCACGAAGAACTACACTAAGTATATGAGTAGATGTCCTCATATATCCCTAGCTATCTACTACCATCGTAACTCCCTCGGGGGTAGGGGATGGAGTATATCTAATCGTAGCTCGTAGTGCCGTATACTCCCGGTATATTCCCATTGGGGTAGGCTCCGGAGTAGGTATTACGTGATGGCGCCGGCATCAGCTTTCCTGGCCTCCATAGGTTAATAATATAAAGGAATAATCCTTCGAGTACTAGCCATCCCGTAATCAGCTATCGTCATCCTATAATATTCTGCTTTATATGCCCGCCTTCGATAAGATACACTAGACAAAGATCTATAATATATCTCTTTTATTTATTTTACTGACCAGTCGTGAATAGATCTTATCCTTCTTATTAGACTGCGGCACTGTTACAGACCCTTGTCTAGCGCACCTTATCGAAGGCGGACACACAAGGTAGAATAACGATAGGATGACGATAGCCGATTCCTGAGCGGAAGGCACCCAACAAATCGTTTATCTAGTAGTTATTCGGGAAAGGCTATGAATATCGATACCAGCTACTATAACAAAGTTACGTATATTGTAGTAGTAACACGGTACAACGTATTAGCGACACGACGAGCTCGTAGCACCGACAAGATACAGTGTATCACTGATACGAGAAGTTGTAGCAAGAATATGACAAGGAAAGATATATAAAGATACTCATTCATGTACTTAAGTTTAGTTCTTCGTGATCAATCTAAATTATTACTATAGAGATACCTTTAGTAGTATAACTAGTCTTAACTCGTTCGCACTCTTCTAACTATTGAGTATATGTACTTAATAGGCCTGGCCCTTTGGACTTAAGTCTAGTATCGACGGCAGTCTTGTATCGACGGCAGTCCCGGAGTGACTCCCGTCCTACCAAGACCGCAACCCGACAACGACGGAAGTCAAGGAATGACTTCAGGTTAGTAACCCTCGAAACGTGGTCCGCTAACTGGTCACAGATTTGACGACAAAGCCCCGGGCGTAACAGCCCATTCATGGGCCCTGAAGGAAACTATTCACTAGTGATAACTTTGCACTCCACGAGATTAACAAGAGATTCCCCATTAAACAGGGGGGGAAACAGAATAATAGGGAGGACAAAAAAAAAAAAAAACAAAAAAAAGGAGAGAGAGAGAGAAGTAGAAGAATCAGACAAGCTTATTTCAGCTATTGGCTCCTGCGCATAAACGGGTAACAGCTTCTAAATAAGGTTGTATTGCTATCGACTATTCTGCTTACTAGTACCGATTTGGGTGGCGATGAGAAACGATGAATGCCTCAGGATGATGACCATGAATGGACGACATCATCCGGAAGACTCTGGACCGTGAGATGTTCCCATTCAGATACTACTAAATCACCACCTGAACATTATTTACAATCGCTATAGCGCATGTACTCCGTGCATACTCCGGGTAAAGTGAACACTGAAGGCAATCTTGGTTCCACTTCCGATCTCAGCGGAAGCGGGCAGAAGGAGATATACGCCGTAGGGAAGAGCACGGCAATCCCATTACTCCGAGATGTCACCCTGAACCACCGCGGTTCACCCATTCATTCCTCGGTTCTGGATGTGACCTTCAAGCTGCTTATTTCTTGCCGCCTCCCCCTTCTCTCCATTTTTGCATATCATTGATACACCATGTCGTCCACAAACCACAATCCTTCTTCGCGCGCCACCCGGCTAGAAAAGGCTATCACCAACCCCGGTGCTGTGAAAATTAATGTCAAGGGTGCTTTCATTGTCGACGAAGATCCGCGATCCAAGAGCCCCGTGAGATTGGATGGTGTGCACTACGAAGGCCATGATATCCGGCTACCCCATCATACTGGAGTGGTGAGCCATGTTGCTGTCGACGTGAGTGACCCGGTTTCTCTTTTTTCTTGTTCCTTTTTTTTTACCCGCCCCCCGCATAATCTGTTCCCCCCCGCAATCGAACTGCAGTTCCGATCGCATCACTAGATTGTGACCAGCGCAACTGACTTTAGCGGTTGGATCTTTCTAGATCGGCGGTTCTCTTGCGAAATTGATTTATTTTACACGAGAGCTGGACTCCGTGGACAATGGCGGCCGATTGAACTTTATCAATTTCGACACTCATCGCATAGATCTTTGCATCGAATTCATAAAGCAATTGAAAGAAGAATACCAGAAAGCCCACGGGCCTTCCAGCGATGAGTTATGTGTTGTGGCAACCGGAGGCGGTGCCTTCAAGTATTACGACAAGCTGAAGGAAACATTGAAGGTGAATATCATCCGCGAGGATGAGATGGAATGCCTTATTACTGGTACGTCCGCGAGTACCGAACATACACACCCACTGTGCTTCCCTTGGGGCATGCTGACTGATTTTACCGCAGGACTCGATTTCTTTATCACCGAAATACCGAACGAAGTTTTTACCTACAGCGAAACCGACCCAATGCAATTTGCCGAGGCCCGACCGGACGTTTACCCGTATTTATTAGTCAACATCGGTTCCGGTGTATCGATGATCAAAGTGTCAGGCCCTAGGCAATACCAGCGTGTGGGGGGTACCCATTTGGGTGGCGGTACCTTCTGGGGCATCATGTCGCTCCTGACTGGTGCTCGAACCTTCGACGATATGCTAGCGATGGCGGATACCGGTGACAATAGTGGGGTAGACATGCTAGTTGGCGATATTTACGGCATGGACTACAGCCGGATTGGTCTGAAGAGCACTGCTATTGCTAGCACCTTCGGCAAAGTCTTTCGATTGAAGAATGAAGTGCAGGAAGAAGACGGAGAAGACAAACCCCACGGTGAAGATGGGCAAACCAATGGTGAAGTTACATTTAAGCCTGAGGATATGAGCCGAAGTCTTCTTTATGCCATTAGGTAAGCCTGGACTCCCGTCCTCACTGTGGTTCTGTTGAGCTAACGTGATATAGTAACAACATTGGACAAATTGCATATCTTCAGTCTGAGAAGCACCAAGTGAAGCACATCTACTTCGGTGGATCATTCATCCGAGGCCACCGGCAAACCATGAACACATTATCCTATGCCATCCGTTTCTGGTCCAAGGGCGAAAAGCAGGCCTACTTCCTGCGCCACGAAGGCTACATTGGCGCCGTCGGGGCCTTCCTACGCAGACAGCCAGCCAACTGGGGTCGCAGGAATAGCCTCGACGGCGGCGCCGTGCCCCAGGAGCTCAAGAGTAGCTCTAGTTGACGAGTTCAAGAACCGCCTTCCAGAGCGACTGGAAGCTTGCATGACTTTCTTCGTTGTTTGGTTTATCCGCCCTTCTTCCGATCTCTTGGGCTTCTGATACCCACTTTTAGTTCCCCGTGCATGTTAGACAAAAGAATATATATCCTGCAAATACACCACGCCAATATTTCGGGACATTATGCAGTGCGACGTTGCAATGACCGATTTACATTTGTACAATAATATTTTGAATACCTTCTCACTCGTCTTGGTTACTACGAGCATCATCCATCTAAAGCCGGAGGTGTTTCTCCGTTTTTCGGTGTTCTTTGTTTCTTCATTTCTAGTTTGATCTATTAATTTGATCCCCTCTGGTTGACAAGGAATTTTGTGCCAAATTTCCGATGATAGGTTTATTGCCGCTATACAAATGCTTGACAAGAATTATCGATGAACTGCAGCGACGCAACCGAATATTGAAACGTTCGGCTTATCTGTCGTAGATCATATTTACACAGGAGAGACTTCTGTTTGCTATCCAGGAACTGTTGGTGTTACACTGTGCGACAGCTCGGTTTTGTTCAATGGGATGGAATTGAAGGATCTCACATTATGCATACACCCAGGGCGACACTACTACTACTACCACCTACTTGGAGGTACCTAGGTACCTGTATATTCGGCCGGGGCTAACCGACTAGTCCCAGCGGGTCAAAGAACCAGCCAATCGGAATGGAGTATGACCCGGGATAAGCTTACCTATCTTTAGCTTATTGGAACTGACAAACGCGGATCCCCATATTTACGCGTTGTCAGTACCAAGTTGCCGATGTATCGACCGAAGCGGAAGACTGCTTATCAACCATTGCAACACGCTCAGTTGTGGTTGAACTTATCATCCAACAATTAATAATTGGCCGTGCTATCCTCTCTTCCGTTCACAGTCGGCGGTTATTCTTTCGTGCGCGTCGTTTTGGTTCGGCGACGGGGCTAAACAAGATCAATATGTTGAATCGGTATGCAGCATTCCGTCCCGCTTATTCTACCTCTTTAAGCTCATTTCTTCTAGTTCAAGGCGAGAGGCTCCCCTCGACAGGGACAGCTCCGAAGAAGAGCGCAAGCCGACAGTATCCCCGGTTAACGAACAGCAAACATCCCTCGTCGTGAACCCCAAAGCGATCTTTGGGTCCGATCAGCCGTTACCCCAACATCTTACCGATATACTAGAAAAATGGCACAAAGAGAAAGGCACGAAACGGCCGCCCTGTAACACTCAAAGGCCTGCGAAACAGATGGAATGGAAAACTTTCGATCGCCAGGGAAATCATGTGAACCTCTCCGCGTATGCGATCATAAAGCCCACCGCCTATAATGTCCTAGTGCTTCATACTGCTGAAGGGCCTGAGAAGATCGTGTCTTCTTACTTTCCTTTCGGCACGGGACATGGTACCTACCTGATCGGTTGGTCGGGGGTTCACGATGGGTGGGATCCTACAATCTGTGCCGTGCGGATGTTCTCGAATAACCTAGACGACATTCTTTATAAGCCTGAGGTGTGGCCCGCATTTGAAGTTCTTGAGAAGCGTCACAACAAGACGCAGGCCCCGACCTCACGAGCTAGCGAGAAACGAAGAAGTCTCCCGGGAGGGTCGCAGATGCAAATACCGCAAAGGAGGCCACAGAGAAAGAGCCTATCAGGACCACCAGTCGCTACACATGATCATAGGGCCAACAATGCACATGAAATATCATCTTCGTCATCATCGGCAGAGGGAGAGTCAGACGAAGAAGACGATACTTCAGGGTCTTCAGAGTCTTCGGAGGACGAAGAGGACGAAGAGCCCGAGCCTACACCTGTATCTAAAAGGCGCCGATTGAACGAGCCTGGCGTACCTGCTCTTCAGGATGCCAAGGTGGTTTTCAAGTTGTTCTCGTATAAATCTGGAGCAGTTCGCTGCTTTCCGTTGGACGAGTGCCGGACTGGGAAGGAGTTCTTCGACAAGGCCCGGATCTTTTTCCAACTTTTTGATAAAAACGCCGAGGTGAAGATCCTGTCATGCCAAATACAATCCCAGCCTCTACAGCAGTATGTGTTTGAGGGTAGTGAAGGTGAGTTTACTCTGCTTGTGGATCAAGCTAAGTCCTTGACTCGCGATGAGCTTGTGATTGTAGAGGTCAGTCATGTTTTATCACTATCGCCTCACTGACCTGGATATTGTATGGTTACAATGTTGCTGTCCATAAGACCGGTTGTAACATGTGATAGAGTCATGACTAACTAATTGGAGTAATGTACCTTTGAGAATGAATATAATTGAGCGTTCACTATCGGATTGTTGTCATGTTCAGTGACTCGCTGTATACATAGTTAACTAGTAGATCGCTGGAAGCGATGACTAATGACCACGTGGTGGAGGCGACGCAATCGGAAGACCTACTTTGGGATATTTCTCAACACGTTCAAAGAATCACCCACCTCATCGTCGCCATGCGCCAAGCATGAATTCTGCACTGCTCGATGCCTCCTCTGTCCGACTCGCCCCCGCCCGTTCCTCCGCCCGTCCCCGTCGAGACCCATCCTAATCGAGCGGTCGGGATAAAGCCTCCTGGACAACAACGAACGCTCCCCGATCCCACCCGGCTTGCCCCTGAAGATGCATACTATTCGCCTGCATTGGTGAGAACACGAACTGCTCCGGCAACCTACGATGAGTCTATTCGAGGGCTGAATGGGAGTGCCGGCACTGCTGCCTCGGTCGCAGCTTTGCGACCGCCGCACGCGGTCCCGGCCCGAAAATTACGAGGAACCAGTAGACGCCGGAGACGAAAGGGCGCGTGGAAGAAGCTTCTCTGGGTGAAGCAATCATGTATGGGTTGGATATACTTCCGGTTAGGATGGCTGTTAACGGCGCTGGACAGATCCTGATAACTACACCGATACCGAGACGTTCCTCGATCACCTCCAGCGCAACCCGCGCGTGCGTCCTTACGACTTCTGGCCTCTCGTGGCCGATTCTACGGTCATTGTTCAGCATGTTTGCTCGGTGGCGATCTTTGTTTGCTGTTTTGTTGGCATTGTCCAGGGACGAGTGAGCCCCGTGTCGATTGTGTGCTGGGGGAGCGTCGGGACGGCTATGGGCTGGATACTGTGGGATTCGTGGGTGTTCAGAGAACATGGGGAGAGCCACGTGGTGGAGCGCGCATCCGAAGGGGATGATGGATCTAGTTCTGGCTCAACCACGAGTTCAATGAACCCATCCACGACCCGGTTAAATGACCAGAAGGACAACCAAGTCCATGGACTTGGGTTGACGATGTCTCACAGTGAGACAGAACCGGGACGAAGGAGCAGCAACTCAGGTCTGGGCGATTCCTGCACGCAGGATGCGGCATCCTTCGGAGGTACGAATGGTGTTGCTGCCGGCAGCGTCCCGCCTCTGCCTCCCCTCGACGCGCCGATGACTTCGCGACTATCTTCGCGCAACCGCCAGCGGCTCTCTACCGTTAAATCGGCATTTTTAATATACGGTGCATTACTGGGGCTTAGCCCGATCCTGAAATCGCTCACTAAATCGACGGCTAGCGACTCAATCTGGGCGATGAGTTGTTGGCTGTTGATCACCAACATCTTCTCGTTTGACTATGGGAGTGGGGAGGGCGCAGGCGCTACGAAGTTCCCGGCCTCTCTGTCGACCAACGCAGCGGTAATGGCCTCGACCGTGCTGGCGTCCCGGCTGCCGTCGACGACGCATGTGTTCAGTTTAATGCTGTTCTCCATTGAAGTGTTCGGGCTGTTCCCTATCTTCCGGCGTCAGCTGCGCCATATATCTTGGACCGGCCATGTGTTCCTGACACTAGCGTTGGTGATCGCCGCTGGTGGCGCAGTTGGAATTACATTAAGGGGCGGGCTGACGGCGGCCGTCGTCGGTTCCATGCTAGGCAGCATCCTGACTGCGTTAGCGATGGGAGGCTGTAGTTGGTGGCTCATCAGTCTGCAGAAATACAAGAACGTGGTGACAGGGCCGTGGGACCCGGCGCGACCCATCATCCGACGCCATTGGGACTGATTTGGCGATTCAAATTCGAACCGGCTGGATCCCAGCTGCCGTGAACTATGAGAGATACCCGTACGAACAATGTTAATACCGATCCTTTTCAGTCGATCCAAGTGTTCCTCTATTCTACTCTTAAATCCTGTACTATAATATGGGACTCTGGTAACACACGGCTCACGCCTGACCGAGGCGAAACAACGAGAGACAAAGGCTCCCGGCTAGGGATTGAGCTTCTGAAACCTCGCTTTGAAGCGCTATTTGCCCCCAGGCAATTTAAATGAACAAATAAGTATTCGTATCGTAGCGCCCTCGGCCGGCGACAAGAATGCGAGAGGAATGTGATCAGGCATGCCACAGGGTCTAATTTAAATCTGGACCCCAAAGTCGAGCAATGGATCCCCTGCTTCGCCCCAGACCAAGCCAAATGCCAGTCCCTCAACAAAGGATCCGCTGTCTCATCCACTGCATACCTGCCTGACCTCATCAAGAGATCTGCACCAGACACTGCATTCCCCACTACGTAGACGGTAGATTTATCCGCTGATTTGTTTATTTGTTCCCATGGCTTGTTCCTGGGGAACCGCGTGAATGATTAATGCTCAGTGTGACTCCGCATTCACAGCATGACTGCTCAAGTGGCCCGTGTACATCCCCAGATATAAAAGCCCGTCAGCTCTCTTTCACCCTCCTGTGCTTTCATTCCCTTATTGTCATTCATTTACCCATGATACCCTGCCCTACTGGGACAAAAGAAAAAAAAAAAAAACAAAGCGACAATGAAGTGGAAGAGTCTAGCCCTCGGCGTCCTGGCCGCGGCCCAGTCCGCGGCGAGTCTTCGCTTTGTGATGTATATCGATCAGTATGTCCCCTGGTCACCTTGACCCAACCTCAACCCGAACCAAAATCTACAATATTTGGATCACGCACTGAAGCGACCGATAAAACTGACAATGAAAAAGATACCACACCCAAGGGCTCCCCGACAGCAGCGGCACTGCCGGAATCACCCACGCGGTGATGGCCTTCGCGGCATCGACTCTCTTTAACGGCGAGTCGGGCCAGTCATGGCAGCCCTTTGAACCGGTGGACACTATGCGCAAGCGGTTCAGCCCGGATACGAAGCTGCTTGTTGCCATTGGAGGATGGGGCGACACGAAGGGGTTCTCAGAGGGTGCGAAGACTGAGCAGTCCCGAGCGACGTATGCGAAGAATGTCAAGAAGATGGTTGACCAGTTTGGGTTGGATGGTGTTGGTATGTTCCTTTATTCTTTTCACTTTTGCGTTCTCTTGGAAAAATTGTTGTGCAGGAGGAAAGGTTTGAGTAAGGCTAATGAATACAGACATCGACTGGGAGTACCCCGCTGGCAACGGCGAAGATTACAAAGACACCCCCAACGACCAAAAAAAGGACGAGATCGAAACATACCCGCTGCTCCTGGCTGCCATCCGCAAGGAATTAGGCAAGGACAAGCTCATCTCGATCGCGACCCCGGGTAAACGGGGCGACATGATCGCCTTCACGAAGGAACAGGGCCCCAAGATCTGGGAGTCCGTCGACATGGTCAACATCATGACGTACGATCTCATGAACCGCCGTAACAACGTGACCTCGCACCACACCAGCGTCCAGGGGTCCTTGGATAGCGTCAAGGCGTACGAGGAAATCGGTCTTGACACACAGAAGATCAACCTCGGTGTCGCGTACTACGCCAAGTGGTTCGAGACGAAGAAAGATGCCGGCTGTGATACGCAGCCGCTGGGATGCGAGGTTGCCGAGTTGGAAGACGCCAAGGGTAAGGACACTGGCAAGTCGGGTGCGTTGACCTTTGAGAAGGGCACCATGGGCGAGCCGGCCAAGGACTTGAAGGACAGCACCGATGGCAGCTGTGGGTTTGGAAAGGGCAAGTGCCCATCGGGAACGTGTTGCAGCCAGTACGGCACCTGGTATGTGTCCCCCCTGCCCCCTATCTACATATCCAAATATACTGTGGAAGCATGCTAACAGCGCGAACAGCGGAACCACAGACGCCCACTGCCAGGCCGGCTGCCAGTCCGACTACGGCACCTGCAAGGGCATCTCGCTGATCGACTCGTGGCGTCGTGCGGAGAAGGATGGCGTGACTGACGAGGAGGCCGGAGGCCAGTACTACTTCGACAAGGAGGTGAATCTGTTCTGGTCGTGGGACACGGCGCCGCTCATTGCGCGCAAGTTCAAGGAAATCGTGGATGCCGAGAAGTTGGGCGGTGTCATGGCCTGGAGCTTGGGAGAGGACACCTTGGAGTGGGAGCATCTGCATGCCATGCAGCAGGGCGTGCAGGAGCGGAGTTGAGATGGTCATTCAGCTGTAGCTGACCGTCATTTACCTTCTTCTTATTCACATTAACTTTCTTGGAATCAAATCTACTATTTCCCAACCATAAACCATACACTCACCAGAACCAAACATAACCAAACACCCCTGAAACAAGTAAAACAAAGTAATATAAAAATCGAGATTAACGAAACAAACTCCCCCAGATCCGGTCCCTATAGAGAAGAACAACCAACCAATCCGAACGCAAGCCCCAGCACGGGATCGCACGACCCTACTTGACCGGCCGCAACCATCACTCATCTTAATAAACAACGCAAAGCATTTAAAGACCGCGTGTCCCATACAATGAACTTCTGGATGAAAAAAAAAATCCTTACCTCGTAGGATAACAAAAACATATTACCATGCACCTGAGTTCAAAACCACTCCCATCACTATGAAATGGGCCCTCTTCTACTTACTCTGTCTCCCGCTTTGTTTGGGGTGGCCGGTTCCGGGGATATCGTCGGGGTTATCTTTATCTGATAAGCACCAGGGTCCGGATCAGGATCGTGAGTCCCAGGAAAAGTCATTTGGGTACTCTCAGTCGAGTGCAGGGATACTATCACCATTACTTTCGTCTTCTTCTCATGATACTCAGAGCGATATCGATATAACCACAAGTCAAGGACACTATCAACATCAACATCAACGCCCCATCACGCTCAATCAACCATTGTCATCTATACCGCACCACGACTCGGAGTATACTACTTCCTCCACCTCCAACTCTGACCAAAATACCAACAACGACAACGACAACGACAACCTCAACAATAATCATAATAACAATATTAATCATAACAATAATTTCAACTCCCACGGAACCTTCCTCACCACCAATACAACCCCAGCCTCACCACATCAACTCCAACAACTCCCACCCTCAACCACAAACCGTTACCTCCGCGTCCTCCACCAGACGCAACTACCCACCACCTTTCTCAAGAACCACATGCATGAGATTGTCGTCGTGGGGTTATTTCTTCTCGTGCCTATCACTCTAGCGCTCGTTGAGATCATCGAGCGCATTGGACTAGGTGTTGATGAGGGTATTGACCTGGAAGAATATCTCGAGAGGAAGAGGGGAAGGGGGATGATTCGACGGGGGAGGAGGGCTCTTCGGAAGAAGCGAGGGAAGAAGAAATCCAGATTGATACAGATGGATATGGAGGTTGATCTAGAAGATCAAGTATTCTCTCGGTGAGGGTTGTGTTATTTTTTTTTTTTTATGTGAGGTAAGCTACGGTGAAATTTGCATATCTTCATTTGCTCATGTACTATGACATTTCTATATGTGTATATATAACAAGAAAAGGAAATTTTAATTGACCATGATGTGAGATTAGACCTTCTCGCGCTGGTCGATCTCGGCCTTCTCGGCGGCACGCGTGAAGGCGTCGACATCGGCGGCTTCACCCTGGGGCAGGTGGCGGGCCATGGAGACGATGTGCCAGGAGGAGGGGGCGTCGCGGAAGACGTTGTTGATGGCCTCCAGGTTGCGGTTCATGGTCTCCGGGTAGAAGATGTAGACGGCGATGGGGATGCAGGCGGAGATGACAGCGTACATAATGTAGTACTGGTAGCCGATGGTGTCGAGGGCGACGGGGGTGATCATGACGACGACGAAGTTCCAGAGCCAGTGGTTGGCGGTGGAGATGGAGGACATGGCGACACGGAGGCGCACGGGGGCGACCTCGGTGCAGTACAGGAAGTTGCCGCCCAGGAAGCCGAAGGGGTAGAAGGTGTTGAAGAGGAAGATGAAGAGCGCGGAGACGATGGAGGCGGCGTAGTTCTTGCCGAAGCTGTTGGTGATGGCCAGGACGATCATGCAGACGCTCATGCCGGTGCCGCTGATCATGAAGATGGCGCGGCGGCCGAGACGGTCGATGGCCACGAAGGAGACGAAGCTGCACAGGAACTTCCAGGTCATGGCGCAGGAGGACAGGATGCGCGCCAGGTCGGAGTCCATGTTGAGGTTCTCTTCGAAGATGGTCGACGCGTACACGGAGATCAGGTTGCCACCGCACATCTGCTGGAAGAATTGCAGCGACATGCAGAGGGCGAAGCGGTACAGCAGACGGTCTTTGTCGTTCTTGCTGAACATTTCCTTCAGCGAGCCGCCGCTCTGGCCGGCGGTGACTTCGAGCGAGGACTCAATGCCGGCGATTTCCATGCGGATCTCGTCGTCCTCTTCGGGCAGGCCCTTGTAGGCGGCGAGACTGGCGGTGGCTTCTTCGATGCGGTTGACGCGGACGAGCCAACGGGGGGATTCGGGGAGGAGGAAGACGGAGGAGACGAGGACCACTTCGAAGAAGAAGGAGATGGCGAGCGGGATCCGCCATTGCAGGGAGCCGTCCACTTTACTGAGGCCGAAGTCGATCCAGTTGCAGAGTGTGTAACCCAGGCAGATACAGATGCCGTCGACAATAACGTGCTGGCCACGGTGCTTGGCCGAGGTACATTCGGACTGCCACACCGGCACGGCAGCACTGAACAGTCCAATGCCCACACCGAGGACGACTCGGCCGATGGTGAACTGGATTAGGTTGTACGAGGCTGTCTGGAGCACCTGGCCAATGATGGAGATGATGGCGCCGACAAAAATGGTCTTCCGACGACCGATCCAGTCTCCGAGGAACGAGCAGGAGAGGGCTCCAAACAGGGCCCCGAGCTGGAAGGATGCGATGACGGCACCTTTACTGGTCGAATTGTGCGCCTTGAGGGCACCGGTCGTGTTGACCGCGTCGATTTCAGGGAAGACATGAACCCAGCTTTGCAGGGTGGCCAAGGGGCCAACACCAGCTTGGTTGTAACCGTAGAGGATGAAGGCAGGAACCACGATGAGAAACACCTGAGCCAGGCGGAGAGGTCTTCCTTGGAGCACCATTTTGGATAGTGATGAGCGAGTTCGACAGAGAGTGCCCAAGTGTTTCCAATGCTTTCTGGGCCGGGTGGCAACGCGTCGCTGCTGGCCTTTTATACCCTAATGCACCGGACGCATAATCCCCTACACCTGGCCCCAAATGGAATTCTACGCGGAGACCCCGCATCTTAGTAAAATTTTACTATACTCACCGAAAGGGAATGGATACAAGGTTGGTCGAAGTGGGCTAGGGGAGTTGGAGCACCTGTAAAGCTAGTGGGCCGCCCAATTGAGCCGTGTTGAAGCACCAAGGGTTCCATCTCAGTTGAGGGTCATCCCGATCCACTTCTCGGACCGTGACCGAGCGGGCGGCCTAATCACAGGGACGGTCATTCGTCGCAAGCTAAGAAAATCGGGGCTGTCCTTCTGTTGAACCGAATGCTGAGAAATGCCGCATTGGCCGGAGTACGTACAAAAACCTGGAGAAGAGATTGTCCGAAACCCCTGCCGGCTAATATGGGCTGTCGGTATTTGGTATTACTGTTTTAGTTGCGCGGCGAGAATATCTCGGAGAAAAGAAGCTTCTCCCCCAGAAAACAAGCACGATCGGCGACCTCCACGTTTTCTTGTCTTTTTCTTGTCCCGGACCATTATAACCCCGTACGATCCCTCCGAGAAAAAAAAAAAAAATCCAATTTAAGAAATATTGCCGTTTTTTAAGCAGGCACAAAATTTAATGTGTGTTTTAACTAGGGTCCTAGTTCTTACAGTCGCTGGATCTCCCCCACCATGGCCTCGGTGACTTCCTTGGTCGTGGCCTTACCTCCTAGGTCTGCGGTCAAGATCCCTCCCTCACACACATTCTCCACACACTCCATTAGCTTCTGAGCCGCTGTCTCCTCGCCCAACCACGCTAACATCTCGGCCGCCGTCCAGAAGGTGGCAACGGGATTAGCAATGCCCTTCCCGGTGATATCGAACGCTGAGCCGTGAATCGGCTCAAACATGCTTGGGTGCTGTCGGGTGGGGTCCAGGTTCGACGTCGGTGCGATTCCTATTGAACCGGCGAGAGCAGCTGCGAGGTCGGAGAGGATGTCCGCGTGCTGGGAATCCCGATTGATCAGCATCAGCCCATGACTCCAAACCCTAATTTCATAAGGTAATATCAATCTGGCCCCCTCAAAGCCAAGCGTCCAGAAAAACCTTTATCAACGCCCACCTTCCCCCGAATTTATCCCGGGGAGGGCAAGAAACGCGAAGGGGATTGGATAAAAGGAACAAAGAAAGGGAAAAGGGGAAAGTCAAACGCACCAAATTACTGGCAACAATTGTATCCACCGTCTCCGGCTTCAACACCATCCTTGTAGTCATCGCGTCCACCAACATCTTGTCCACCTGCACTTCTGGAAACTCCTTCCCCACTTCGGTCGCAACCTCATCCCAAAGGACCATACCATTGCGCTGGGCATTGCTCTTAGTGACCACGGTCAGTAACTTCCGTGGCCGCTTCGCCGCCGTCTGGAATGCGAAGCGCATGATTCGCTCAACACCGTGCCGGCTAAAAATCGCTGTCTCAGTCGCTACCTCCCATGGGCAGCCGCGGTGGGATCGACCCCCCTGTCCGGCATACTCGCCCTCACTGTTCTCACGAACAATCACCCAGTCCAATTTGCCGGGGGGACAATTCCGAAGCGGTGATTGTGTGCCCCGGAGGACTCGCGTAGGTCGCACATTCGCGTACTGCTGCAACGGTTGGCAGATCGAAAGACGGAGACCCCAAAGGGAAATGTGATCGGGAACATCTGTGGGTATTTACATTAATAATCATCGTAGCATACTACCTAGGCGATGTCGTATTGCATATGCGGGCTAGGTCGATCCCCGGACATGGGGCGGTGTATTTGTTTGCTTTTCTTGTTCTATTCTTTCTGGGGACTTACCAGGTGCTCCCACAGCTCCGAACAAAATCGCATCATGGCGCTTCAGGTCGTCCAGCCCTCCGTCGGGAATATACTTGCCGGTGGCTTTGTATGTTTCCGAGCTCCAGTCGTAGTGGGTGAAATCAAGCTTGAAGGTGTTAAGCTTCTCGGCCAAGGCGTTGAGAACAGTAACTCCGGCCGAGATAACCTCGGGACCGATGCCGTCCGCGGGGATCGAAGCGATGCTGTAGGTCTTCATGGTGCTGATACAAGAATGTGATCTGTGAGATAATCGGGTAAATTTGTCTTGAGGTTTAGTTCTTTTGGTAAGCTTTCATTCGTATTTATGTTTGGAAAATCTTTTGCGTGAGGCGACGGAGGTTGTGAACCCCGCCGGACTTGTTCTGTCCGGTATACTGGGCCCGGAGGTGGACATGTCCGGATTGCCACGCTGTCTCGTCTATCCATTCCTAGTACTCCAGAGTACGTCTATCGTGGGGAAAGTTGGGGAGCATGACTGCCGATGTCATTCCCGATGGTAATTACGCGCAAGCGTAACTTATGATGTGAATGTATGGCTAAATTTGAAACCCGAAATTTTGATCGAAGTTCTCCTCGATTAGCCAGGGCCCATCCGCAACGGTCCACAGGTCATTCCACCCGGACTCAAAATCTCCGGGGTCTGGAAACGGATACGTAAATGGCAGATTATTGATCGACGAGTCTCCAAAGACAACCGAGGGGTGACATTGCGGAGCTAACCTGGGGTCCTCGGCAATGTTAGTGGGGAGATCCGGGACTCTGTCTTCTGCCGGTCCTGGGCTTGTTGGTCGGTTGTCGGTGGGGGGCATTGGCGGCGGGTTGGATAGAGCAGATTCTAGATCGCGGATAGCTTCGATGCAGGTCTGCGACCAGGTGTTGCCTCTCAAGGATAGGTTTTGGAGGATGGAGAGGCCGGTTTTGGCATATCTAATGCAATGGTGTTAGACCTGCGTCTTATGGCTCAGACATATCTCGCTCTTACCGTGAAGCGGATTGCACGGGAAAATCCCCTTCCCACGCCGCATATACTAGGATCAAACAGCTCATCCAGACGGCCCATGTGAACGACGGCCATACCAGCGGCACCGTTCCCTGACCGCTGGGCAAGACATAACCTCTGAGGGCCGTGATCAGTGATCTAGACGACTCAATACAAACCTGCAATGCTGTCTTATACTCCGGCGATGATTGATCAGCCGCCAGGAGTGGCCTGTTCATCGAGATGATAGACTCATGGCGGAAGACGATCAGCAGTAGACGATGAAGTGGCGAAACTCCCGGGTCCTCGTCCACCGGGTAAACATCATCGTAGACTTCGTTCCACCAGTGGGCAAGCTCCCCGTTCACTTGGGTCGCGGTGTTGGAGGTTTCTTGGCTGTGAAGGATGGACTTATTGCGGAGTTCGACGACTAGACCTCTTACGCGGGCGAATTTGGCCAGATAAGTGAGCAAGCGGAGATTTGGATCTGGAACATTAGATATGTGTGCTGTAAATCAGGCGAAGAGATTATTACACACCGTATACCCCTTCACTGTGTCTTTCTATGCCTGGATAACACACGTCGATGTCATCGTCTCGAATGCTCAGTGGAATACCCAGGGACTGGGAGAGGTATCTTTCTAGGCAGTAGATCGACCAGAATAACCGCTGTCGGACTGCCGCTTCTTCTGGGCTAAAACAGGCGAATCGCGCCGGGCATCGATGTAGACCGAGATGGAATGCCGTGCGCGTTATAGCGCCACCGATCCGCGAGGCGGCATTCAATCGCAGCAGCGAAGCGAGGAACAATGCCACGCTAAAAGCCGCCTGGAGGATAGATATCGTAGGCGGGTCACAGAAAAGCGTGTGCAGGCTTTCCATCGCCTGATCGACTGTGCGAAAGACCAGCTTGGCGGGCACATGCGTACTCCTCGTAGCATCCACCTGACGACCATCCATAAGAGAAATGGACACGATGGACCGGACGAGAATCACGTCCGTGGTCTTTGCGCCGTCCAACCCATCCTGGCTAATCCGCTCCAGTAGCTCAAGGAACCTCGGACCAGAGAGGAACGGAAACATCGGATGCCAACATTCGAAGTAACTTCTCGTCCACTGCACCAGCTGTTCAAATGAAGCCGTCCGGGACCGGTGGTCCAGCTCCTGCGGCGCCCACAGCTCGTTCTTCACTGCCTGCGCATCGTGCCCCGGGCTCTGGAGCAATTGGTCATCTTCACCAGGCACTAGATTTTCTTGTGCCTTCTGGGACCTGCTCAGGTGCGCTGAGCGACGGGCAAATGAGTTGTAGACAGTGCGGATGAAATGAATGCCGCTTGAGCTGCCGAGGAAGCTGGCGGAGCCATTGTCAACGGAGGACTTCCTCATCACGCCGATTTCTCGCGGCGGATTCGGTTTGTGCCGTTTGGCGGGAGAAGTAAGATAATCATGGTGCGATGAGTCCATGATTCAGCAATAGGAGACAGGATTCCTATTGGATTGGGAAGTGATAGTAGGCGGAAGAGCTTGATAGAGTTGTGTGGGGGTGGAGACAGCTTGCCAAGTGCAGCATGATAATCACCCCTTGGCATACGCGTTTTAAGCCAGGTGCATGTCCCCATAGAGAGTGTGTGGATATGTTTTTCGTTACCCTCGCATGATACACAGGGGTTCGCTGAGCTTATTCTTGAGGACGACGATCGTTTGGGGGAGTGGAGGAGGAACAAAGTCAACTTGAAGTTACCCCGGAAATATATTTTCCATCCGCAGGCACGTGGAGTATAGTCGTGGAGAGGACCACTTGAACCCACTGACAAACAATAAAAAAGAGAAAAAAGGAAAGTAATATATAGAATGATTAACACGGTAGTACAATGAAAAAGGAAAAACTCCAGCTGGATCAAAACTAGAAAAGAAGGCTTAAACCGGCGAGTTCATTGTTTCTAACCACATGCATAGCATGCCTCAGGCATAAGTAACCAGTCGATCAATTGTCCAATCACACACGGCCGGACTTTCTTCGTGCGGCATACACTTCACGGTGCCTCCAACTTCCAAATCTCCAACTCGCCATCTATACTATTAATATCCACCAGAATCCACGTTATAATACCCTCGGAGTAAATAAAATAATCGTCGAACAGAAATGTCTACAAACACCATAGCCACGTCTCATCCCCAAAACCCAATCTCCTGCGAACCATGTCGACAGAAGAAATGCAAAGTCAGTTAACTCCCACCCAACTCGATGCCAATCTATATAGTATTCCATCTGAGATTTGGTCGAGAAATTAACCCACTGACTATATCAGTGTGACCGACTCCTGTATGCACAATCATTCACTATGTTCCGATATTAGAACTAATAATCAAGTCCGATCTGCACACAATGTGCCACCACTCCATCCTCGCAAAGTAGATGTATATACCCCGAGAGCGGGAAACGGTTCGTATATATATGTCATTTCTACTATTACCTTGCTATAGTCTATGCTAATAATCACTAGAGGTCTTCCACAAGGGTACATAACCCATATTGAACATCGTCTCGCCGCGACAGAAGCGGCTTTATTCTCGGTGTATTCCCAGGTACGGGCTGAGAGGGCTGTACAGCCACAGAGGCAATCCCACGTTCAGGAAAACACTCTGGATATTCCCGTTGATGTAGTGGCTTCGTCGAGGGGAAGTCGGATGGAAAGTATGGCGGAGTGGCAGGCGTTGCCGTTGAGGGCTGGAGGAGAGCTGGAGAGATGGTGGGGGGTTAAGAGAGGAGCTTGGGGGGTAGACATTGATGATGGGGGATGCTCTGCTGGTGGCTTTGGGCAAGAGAGCGAGAAGCGGTTGTTGGTTGAGGATCGAAATGAAACTGACCCAGGGGGAAGGGACGCAAGTCTAGACGTAGATAGTGGGAAGATGACCAGAGCGGAGAGACTGGCAAGGCTGGAATCAAGGGTATATTTTTGAACTTCTGCTCTAAACCGATTGAGTATGTACATATGCCTCATATTGCGTGTAAGATGTATCGTCTATTGGTGTACATGATATTCGACAAACAGTTCAAAATTACATGGATGGGGACAAATGAACCGACCAGACAAGGCGCGACAGTCCGTTCTGGTCGGGAAGACCATCCCGGTTCTTCACCGTCCAGTTCTCGCTCCCAACTCCGGTCAGGGCATAGAACAATCCTGATGCGTCGTAACTTTGTTTGAGCTGGTACAGGCGCTCATAGTTTGAGCCGTAGAACGACTGATGGAAGTTTGGCTCCACAATATTCACTTTTGACGTGTAAACTCCCGCCTCAGGGCAGGGCTTGCGCCAGATACCGAGGACATCGTTGGCGAAATGCTCCATCTGGTTCGGTGCTGGCGGCGAACGGGCTAAGAAGCATGTCAGTGCTGGCTTAGGGTGCAGCCAATGATTTGTGAATATGTTTAGTTTCATGCTTAGTCTCTCATAGCACGACTGGGGGTGGATCCGGGGGTGGCCCGATGGTATTTGCCACGGTCTCCTTGGAGAACCGTCAACAACGCGCGGCGTTAGGATCATTGATGCGGGCCTGTCAGATTATCGAGCCAGGAGACTGGGCTCTAACCATGCATGTCTCCGGACATTTCTATCGGTGGGTCGATACACTACAACGGTGATATTGCCTAGCCGCTAAAAGTGTTCACAGAGCCCTTGATCTTACAACAGAGCTTCTTGAAGCCGCGGGAGCCTCTGTTTTATGTGCTGGAGCCGAAATGGCAATGGAAGCAGTCGTCGACGCGCTGAGCCAGTATCGTGTCAATGTGGTGGCTGGCGACGCAGGGCAAGTCGTCCAGATAGTCAGATATATTGACACGCTGCCTGTAGGCCAGAAAGCTTCTCTCCAAATACGGAAGGTCCTATATACATCCGAGCCTATGACACCCGCACAGAAGAATTTTATTAATTCGGTGCTCGGCGAGGTTACCATCTACTCGGTGATTGGGAGCGCAGAGGCTGGCCCATGGGCTGTATCCAACCCGTTGCTTACCAACCATAACACCGCGTCGTCTGCTGCTGACTTTATCTACGATACTCGAACGATGCTTCTCGAGGTCCTGCCCCTATCCTTCCAAGATACAGACGTGAAGAGTTATTGTGATGAGAGGCATATGGTGGGTGTCCCCGACGGCGAAAAAGGAACACTCCTGCAAACATCTTTGCAGCGGCTGCGGAATCCTCTAGTACGATATGTCTGTGGGGATGTTGCATCTCTTCATCCACTCCCTGCGGAAGCCCGGACAAGATTGCCCGCGGAGGATGCTGAGCATTACCGTATTGTTCGTATCTATGGGCGTGACAAACGGCTCAGCTTCGACTGGTACGGAGAGTACTTTGAGTTTGATACAGTTCAAGCGCTCATGCGGCAGGCTAGTTGGGGCATTCTTCAGTGGCAGGTCATCCTTTGGACCAAGCCAGAAGGATTGGACAAATGCTTGGAAGTCCGTCTGTTACGAGCCTCGGCATCGGATGGCAATCTGCTCAGTGAAGCAGATTTGATTAAAGAAATCAAGCACTTCTTTATGGTCTTTGATTACAACGAGGATCTCTTTCAGCTGAATTTCCTCACTGGTTTAGATGGATTCGTTCGCAGTGCAACAGGCAGGAAGGTGGCCAACTTTGTAGATAGGACTAGTTAGCGCGCATGACGCTGGGACATTGGTTAGCTCAACTTGAAAAAGACGTCATTCTGAAGCTCATAGTTCTCCTGTCGGAATCTAAGGCTATTAAAGGACCATGATGCCATTTTCTGGAAAATACGTGCCAGTTGCATGCCGCAGTCTGTCGGCAATTACTCAACCCCGTAATTGACAATCATAATAGACCTATTTATAACAGTACGGATTTTCAACATCTAAAAATACATTCGGACCTGCTAGACTGCTGCAAGGATGTTTTAATTCCTTGGTTACAAATCTGCTGTATAAGAAACCCTCTAGCTTATCTATACACTCTAACCCGACCAAATAAGATCATTGGATCCCATTTAAAATGATATCTTCCAGCATCTCCCGTTCCGGATCCTGATACACCATACCCCGGAAAGACGACTGCTCACGAAGGAGTAACTCCTTCGGACTGCCCGATTCTACAATCATCCCGTCATCCATGACAAGCACCATATCTGAGTCGGCAATTGTCTTCAGCCGATGAGCAATAACCAAGAAGGTGGTCTGATATTGGCCAAGGGCCGAGCGTAAGCTTCGCTGGATCAGATCGTCGGTCGAACTATCAACCGACGATGTTGCCTCATCCATGACAAGGATCTTCGGACGTCGGATGATAGCCCGGGCGAGACAAAGGAGCTGCTGTTGTCCTTGAGAGAGATTCTCTCCACAGTCGGCAACCGGCTGGTCGAGCGGATTTTCTGTGCCTTTCTCCATGAGGAGATAGTCGTGCTCTGTATCGACGCCTTCTTCGACTAGAGAGTCGCGGTCTGAGGAGGATCGGAGTGGAGAACCAGGGCTGGCTTCCGAGTCACGATCCTGGTACCATCCCACGGCTTGCAGCGCGCCAGCAAGGGCGGCGTCATCGTACTCGCCAAAAGGATCAAGGTTCGACCGCACCGTTCCACGGAAAAGCACCGGATGCTGCGGGATAATTGCTAGCTGGCTACGCAGCCGGCTAAGGCTCACCTGCGAGATATCGACATTGTCCACCATGATCGAGCCGTGGGAAGCCTCCAGGAAGCGAAACAAAGCCAAGACAAGAGACGATTTACCAGCGCCCGTGCGGCCAATCACGCCGACACGACTGTTCGGCGAAACCGTGAAATGTAGACCTTTCAGCACAGGTGGAAGATGAGCGGCGTGCTGGACGAATAGTTGGGAAACCTCTAGTTTTCCCTCCCGGGGCCAGCCCCGTGGAAGATCCTGGTCGTGCCCTTTGTCCGATTCGGTCTGTATGGTAGTGAGTGAATGGATTCGTTTTACGCTATTCATTGCTTGCTCCAGATTAGAATACGCGCGTATACCCATTGCCATGTTGAAGGAAATCTGAAGGGTGAAGCCGATAGCAAATCCAGCCACCGACGGGCTGATCCCCGGCATGTACGCTACCATCACAGCGGAAAGAGCGGAAAATGCAGCACCCAGAACATTGACTCGGAAGGCCAGCCACCGGTTGAGCAACCAGAGATGCCAGAATGCTCGTGCGTGGAGGCCCACTTTATCTTGAAATCTTTGTACAGCAACATCCACTTGCCCAAAGGCCCGTACGGAAGACAGGCCACTGATTGTGCTTTCCAGTTCCTCGAGAAGTGGCCCTTTAGCGTCGTTCTCCAAGTCTTTCAACTGTCGGGACGCCTTGATATACCGGCGGGCGAACCAGAAGTACATCGTCAGGAGGACGATAGTGATAATAAGGAGGGCGGGATTCGCAATGGTGCCAGCAATCAATGCTGCAGCCACATCCATTGCGTACTCAAAGGTAGAACAAAGCTCGGTTCCAACTTGGGCATCCAACGCATTGAAATCGGCGGAGAATCGACTAAGGACGTGTCCTAGGGGCGTGTTGTCGTGCCACTGAAGAGGGGCGCGGAGCACAGAAGAGAGTACTTTATGGAACAGATTTTGCGAGGCTCGAAGTGCAACAGACGAAGTGGAATAAATACGGCCTGTGCCAAAGGCACACGCTAACAGTGAGAGTATAATATATACACCGAGATAGTATAACACTGAGTGTTGCGAGGCGATCTGTTCGGTGGCTTGCCCAGGGACCGGGGCCGATGCCTGAAAATCATCTGTCCATATATGAATCCACCAGGACTTTGAGAGAATTAGTGAAAGTATCAAGCGATATGATCGCTTTATAGAGTCAGTGGGATCTTACCTTAGCCAACATAAGCCCTGAGAACCCCATAAATGAGACAGCCAGAAACAGCCATTGGAAGATATTACCCCCCTCTGTTAAGAAAGTACTAGCAACTGTGCGTTCGGAGGAATTGGTAGCCAACCTGCTAGCTTTCTCGGCAGTTGCAGAGCTACTGGAGATGTTTATACTTTCCAGGGAGCCTCTGTCAGGGTATGCCGATTCAAGGAGCGCTGGCAATGCCTCCTCCTTTGGCTGAATAGATGGTATCAGCGGTTGCTGAGGGGCTGGTTGTGGCTCAGGCAGTATATCTGCCGACTTCAACCCACCATTCTCGAGCTGGACCAAGTATTTTGCACGCGGTAAGCACAGTTTGAGATGGTGAGTGACGAGGATGCACGTTCGCCCTTGCAACAGCTCCCCACCCAAGGCATACTGAGAGATGTGCTCGCACGTATGAACGTCCAGGGCACTAAAGATGTCATCCAACAGAAGCGTACGAGCCCGTGAGTATAAAGCACGAGCAAGACAAATGCGCCAGCGTTGTCCGCCACTGAGGTTTGTCCCGTTGGCGCTGATTTCCGTCTGATCCTTTTGGGGAAGAAGTTCCAAGTCCTTCTCCAATGCGCACGCGAAGATCACCTTTGCGTATCTCTCCTTATCCAGCGGTAACCCAAGAAGGATATTTTCTCTCAAGGTGGATGTCTGTAGCCACATCGACTGAGAAACGAATGCCACTGCAGAGTTGGCCACCCAGGGATCGGCGGCCCGAACATGTGCGATTTGCTCAAATGAGACTGGTACTGGTGCAGATATACTGCCGTTCAAAATCTCTGCTTCCCCCAATATTGCTGCAAGAAGAAGACTCTTGCCGGAGCCGGTTGGTCCGGTGATAATGCTGAGGGAATCCTCTGGGAATGCCAGAGTCAGACCTGTTAAAGTGCTGGCTGTATCGCTGCACCCAGGCCAAGCAACTGTCGCACCCCGGAATTCAACTCGCTCGGCGGGAGTAACCTTGTTGAAACGCTCTGGCTGCGACAGATATGTTGTGACCCGCCTTATACTCACTTTTGCACTTAAGAAGAATGATATGAAATTCGGTAGCATGCCCATCGCTATTTCAAGAGAGCTCATAACAGCCAAGGCTGTAAATGCAGTGGAGGCATCCAAGCTTCCATGGTAGAATATATACACCGAAAGGCAAGTTGCGGAAAGGAGGATTGGGCTTATGAAATACATGGACATAAATGCCATCTGCCAGAGACAGACCGCCCACTGCGCTCGGATTTCAGAGCCTCGCAATTGACGAATCCTTCCCTCCCACCGGCTTTCCAGTGCGGAAAACTTAATCTGGCGAACCCCTCGAAGCATCTCCACCACAGCTCTGAGCCTGTTGTCACGATGCTGCATCGATGCTGCTTGCGTGGTAGAATACCTGCTCACTGCCCAAGCATTGAAGAGAGTAAGGAGGCCCCAGATGGTGACTCCAGCAAGTAGGCTCCGCCAGCCCAGTAGCCGAGTCAGGAAAACGGAAGCAATTGCCAGCTTGGTTGGTGACTCATATATGATGAAGAAAAAGCAGAAGAAATCCGCTATATTCCTGGCATCGACGGCAGCCATATTAACTGGATTCGGAGTGGTTTCGTCGTTGTCTGCCTCGTCAGAGCTTGTGGCTCGATGCAGCCGAACTGCCTTGTTGAAGATCGCGAGAGATAGCTGTTGTTGCACCCTAAGGTTTAGATTGTTAAATGAGATCCAAAACTTCAGCGTGTCTAGTGTTGCGGACCCCAGCACCGACAGACCGAGGCCAATAACTGGAACCCAAAGCATATCGGCATTTTTTCCGGACTCTCGGGCTTCCAGCAGCTTCAGGATGTGCCATAAGGCTATTTGTGGGCCAAAGCTGAGGAATGAGAGCAGGAGAGTAAGCGCCATCTGATAGAGCAAGGCCCGGCCATGAGATCGAAATATTGAGCACCATAAACCCCAGCTCGCTGACAAGTTGTACTTTGCTGCCATTCCTTTCCATACACGGTATACGGTTACTCCCCTCGTGCTATTATCTAGCTCCGGCAAATCACTGATAGCTAAGCGTTGCGAATGTTCACTTTTACGCAAGACTGGGTCAATCCATGAAAAGCTGACCCAGCCTAGCAGACTGGTGGTGAATTGTCGATCAACCATGATACCCTTATAGAAAACATCTGGACGTCGTGGAATCAGCGAGCTGAGGAGGACGATTGTAACACCAATGGCAATCTGGGCACCAGCAAGTGCAATGTATACATTTCCAATGTGGCCTGAGTGGGAGTTGGCATAAATCTGGACGAGACAGATCAGGAGTGCGACAAGACTGCTCGCCCCCATTCTCCAGCTAACCGCAAAATGCTCCGTGGACGAGGAGGGAACAGTAAGAGCGATGCTCTGGATGAGAACACATATCTTCAAAACCTGTCAGCTCTTCCAACTCAACGTCATGGAGGAATGTTGAAAGTGATGATATCTCACGGGAAGTCCTTACCCAGACCCCGAACTCCATCCAATACGCCACATTTGCAGGATACTGGATATGAGGCATAGCAAGCCCCATCCGTAGCCCTACGATGGCCATCCCAGCTGTCGCGATAACCAGAATGGCCAAACGAAGGCCCCATTTTGCAGTGTGTTCGATGGTCTGTTGTGTAGCCTCCCCATCCTGATCTTCGTAGACCTGCACCAGCGACCGATAGCGAGTTGTTATCCTTCGGGTTGCCCATGACAATATATGTCTAAAAGCATACACATGGAGAATTAAGACTATCAGGAAGCCTGTTCCGGTCGAGAGGAGGCGCACATTTTCCATATTTGGCCTATCGTTCTAAAACGTTTGAACGATGAAGGTGTGAAGGCCGTTCATCCACAGCCTTTTTGCATTCTGTTGGTCATTCCTCCGTGGCACCGTCCATGCAAGGAGCGAAAATGAAGGAGAACGAAAAAGGAACAAAAGGGAAGATATCATATTTAAAGTCCTTCGGATTTTCTAAGCATCAAGACTGACGTGTTACTGAATTGTTGGACCCCTTTTCCCCAAGATTTTACTGTGGAATCAATTATATTCAAATGGTATTGATACAATCCCTTGCGGTCTCCCAAGGCTTTTTTCTTTTGTGTTTCCTGGACTGGTCCAATGAAAGGAGATGAATCAGCTTTGGGATCTGGTCTATTGTGTCGATCATAAATACTGTCGATCGGCATCTATTTCCGGCAATGTTTTATGGTCCACATATTCCTTCCCCTTGCCACACCTCCTTGCGACTCCTTACAAGGCTGTATGACTGTTGAAGGCTGTTCGAAATTCTGCTCGTCCCGAGCATTCTCCTGCCGAACATCCTATATTTCTATTAGCAATTGCCAATACCTCGAGAAATGCATTTCCTACCTCACCGACAGTTTGCGATGAGAGATCCTGAATTTAGTGTTGCCCTTGTTCAGCTGGAAAATAGTTGAGTTATGCAGGCGGAAAAAAAAAAAAAAATCAATAAAATATAGACTATTGGATCTGTCATTCAAGCTCAGCTCTTCTGTGGAAAGAGTCAATACGGCTTGTAGATCAAAAGCCGAACTGGTTCGTTCCGTCGGTGGGTCCCTAAGCATGATATGCCCTTGATATTAAAAGCGGCCACCTCTTGCCTACCAACGATAAAACAAGTTCCAGTGAAGTCCATGTTGGAATTCTACTCACCGATATGAATCGGTAGTTTCATACTACTGCGAAAACTCAATCTACACCTAAGAGTATAAAGTTCTGCAGACCAGCATTCTGGATCTCTACTCGGCGCTTATGCGGCCTAAGGGATCGCATCAAACTGTGTCCTCGGTCTTTTCATGGGGGTGCAGTATTATTGTAACGGAAGATCCACGATTCAGGATAGAAAGCCTGTCGACTAGGTAAGGATACATGAGTACTAGTAGAGTAGGGAATAAATCCCCAGCATTCAGAATGATACTAGTGTCGAATACCAAATTAATTATTAAGAATATGTATCGCAGATCTAAGAAACCTTCTAGTTAGTTATTTAGACCAGATTACTAGTGTTCATAGACAAGGCACCGAGTTGAGTTACGCAGGGTCCCTCCCGCCGCGGGAGCTGAGCATACACTAGAGCTCACAATTATATATATAGGAGAGGTGACGGGAGACAGACGATAATTTAGCATAACTTTATTTTGGTTCTTATTCTCACATTATGTTCTTTCGTATGATGACTATACTGAGGTATAAAGATAACCTGCTATCATTACTTTCATGAACTTTGGATGGTGCCACACTGCCGAGGGAACTCCAAAGAGGGGTTGCGCTGCGGGGTTCAACAGCATCGCGATGCTTATAAATTTGGAGATGTGTCGCAAAGCTTTCCACCTTTCTTTTCCTCCAGTATTTATCTCTCTGGAACTACACAATCCACAGGGTCAGCTGTACAGACATAACATTGCATCATGGCTACCCAGTACAAACTGCCGTTCGAGGTATATGCTCCTCTGCGCGCGATCGGATAACAACTAATGCACGATTGATAGCTGAACGACCCCAGTCTGCTGCACTTTGACTCCTTCGTCGGTGACAGCTGGGTTCAGTCGAAGAGTGGAAAGCGTTTTGAGGTCATCGGTACGGTACCTGATAACCAGCCTACGTAGCTACGCGACCCTGGCCACTGACATGTGTGATGTGAAGACCCCGGAACCGACCTGGCGTGGGCCAGTTGTCCCACCAACAGCGCCGAAGACGTTCCATCAGCCGTGGAAGCCGCACACGCCGCCTTCGAGCAATACAAGAAAAGCAACCCCCGCCAGCGAGCGCAATGGCTCATGAAATGGGACGCGCTCATCCGGGAAGCCAAACCCGACCTCGCCAAGATCCTCACGCACGAGACGGGCAAGCCGCTGGCCGAGTCCTACGGAGAGATCGACTATGCGACCGGGTTTACTTGGTGGTTCGCTGGCGAGGCCGAGCGTATCCACGGCAGCATTAGCGTGCCCTCGGCGCCGAATCGCCGCGTGTTCACGGTCAAGCAGCCGATTGGCGTGGCGGCTGCCTTGGTGCCCTGGAACTTCCCCATCGCGATGGTTCTGCGCAAGGCGGGCGCGGCGTTCGCGGCAGGGTGCACGATGATCGTGAAGCCGAGTCCCGAGACGCCGCTGTCAGCGCTGGTGTTGGCGCATCTGGCGCAGAAAGCAGGTTTCCCGGCGGGCGTGTTTAACGTGCTGACGACGGATCTGGAGAATACGCCGTCGTTGAGTGAGGCGTTGTGTAAGCATCCGTTGGTGAAGAAGGTGACCTTCACGGGCTCTACACGGGTCGGGAAATTGATTGCGTCCCACTGTGCGCATGGACTGAAGAAGTTGACCCTGGAGCTGGGCGGGAACTGTCCGTTCTTGGTGTTCGATGACGCTAATCTGGACCAGGCGTTGGATCAACTCATGGCGTTGAAGTGGCGGCATGCTGGACAGGCGTGTATCACGGCCAACCGGGTGTACGTCCAGGCGGGCGTCTATGATCGCTTTGCGCAGTTGCTCAAGGAGCGTACGCAGAAGTTGGTCGTGGGTCATGGTGCCAAAGAGGGCACGACGATGGGTCCCGTGACCACTCCTCGGAGCATTGACAAGGCGCTCAGCCAGGTCGAAGACGCCCGTCGACTCGGGGCTGATGTGATTCTGGGAGGGAATAAGGTCACAGATACCAAGGGGTATTTCTTTGAGCCCACGATCCTGACGGGCATGACTAAGGACATGTTGGTGTCCCGGGAGGAGACCTTTGCGCCTATCGCTGCCCTCTATAAATTTGAAACGGAGGAAGAGGCAGTGCAGCTGGCCAATGACACTAGCATGGGACTGGCAAGTTACGCGTTCACCAAGAACATTGACCGCATGTGGAGGTTACTAGAGAACCTGGACGCCGGCATGATTGGTATGAACACGGGTAACTCGTCCGCCGCGGAGTCTCCGTTCGGAGGCATCAAGGAGTCCGGGTATGGTAAGGAAAGTGGAAAGGAGGTCGCCGTGAATGAGTATCTGGTGACGAAGACGGGAACTCTTACGATCGAGGGACAGTATTAGTAGGCATAACAGAAGGTATTATCGTATGCACAGGCAGGCTAGGTGTCCTTTCTGGACGGTGTTTAACTGCTCTAGGTAGTCTAATCGAGAAACTTCATGCATTCACATTCACTGATCCACCGTGGAAGGAATTAGGCACGGACCTCAGGCATAAATATATACTGGATCGGAGTATAATAATTAATATAAAATGGAAACTATGGGCGGTCGGAGTCCAGCTCCGAACAGGCACTAATTACTGGATGGAGTCTAGCGGGATCCGAGGAGCATCTAAGTTGAGTTAGTGTGATCCAACTGGGCAAAAAAGTCGGCACTTTGCCGCATTGGAAACTTGCCGTTGCTCGTAGAGATTGCCTGATGCGGCATAGTGCACGAGCGATCCAGTGATCATCGATGGATTTGGTTTGATCTTCTTTTTCATCCACTCCCGCTGGTCTCTCTATCTTCTCCCTCTATGATTGATGATTTGATTTGATTCCACACCAGTTCACGGTCGTCGAGTCTTCCGCCTTGGGATTGGCATGATTTGTCTCCCCTGTGTCAGGTCGAGTTTCCTGCCAATCATGCCGGGACTGAATTTCTTGTCTCCGACCCTGTATTAAGCATGCTTTTTGAGGTAACATCTCCGATATTGTCACATCGCGCCTTGCGTGCCTGATCAATTCCGACCATCTCGACGACTTGATCGACACTCGGAAACTGACGAACTGCCTCTTTGGGTAAGCATCTACTGCTTTTTTCGATTTTCTATTTTTGTTCGATTTTTTTTTCTCTCGCTTCTGGTGCTATCGATCTTCCCTGGGTCGGGTCGTTTATATACTTCGCGATCTTCTGTCCGGGTGACTACTCTGCCTGCCATACAACTTCAGACCTACTCTGTGATGAACATACTATTATTGATCTCTTAATTACGACGTTCTTTCTCTTAACTCTACCTAATCATAATAATCAATCTATCCTGACTCCAATCATGGATCTCACCTCCCTTCAATCATGGATTCAAACCCATCCCCTCATTGATAACCATGCCCATAACCTCCTGAAGCGGGACCAGGCCTGCAATTACGCCAAATATCCGTTTGAACAGATCACGTCAGAAGCTCAGGGATCCGCTCTGCGCAATGCCCCCTCTACATTACCATTACACCGCGCCGCCACACAGCTCGCCGCACTCTACCGCTGTGCCTCCTCCGACTGGGATCATGTCAAGGCGGCACGCGACGCACGGGTACAGCGCGACTATGACGGCCTGATTCGCGAGTGTCTACAGGGCACACATACTTTACTTCTCGACGATCTACTCACCGACCAAGATATTGAATCCTACGAATGGCATGACCGCTTCACCACATCGCAGACCAAACGGATTGTGCGGATCGAGACATTGGCCGCTGAAACAATTTCCACCCTGATGCGGGATGACGCCCGGCCCCAGCAAGGAGACGTCTCGGTGCTGCGGGAGCGGTGGGAGCAGTTCCGTGAGGGCTTTAAGCAACGTATCGACAAGGCGATCGCAGACCCCGCAGTGGTGGGGTTCAAATCGGTGATTTGCTACCGAACTGGGCTTAACGTCCAAGCTACCGAGGACAACGATGATACCCTTCTGCTAGAGTCATTCGCGCGTACAGTTGGCCAAGGACAGGGGTCTGCGTACCGGGTGGAAGACAAGCGGCTGAATGACTGGGTCGTACGTCAGACGCTCAGTCTCCTGCAGTCGGCTAAAGCCGCCACCGCATCGGCCCCCAACAA